CAGAACGGTGTCTGTTTCCTAAAGACCCCGTTGGTCTCGGAGCGTCTCTGGTTTTCAGGTGTTTTCAGGGGCTGTCCTGTGCAACAGGGGCCCTGACGGGGCAACTCCTGGATCGGGGTACCGCTGTCCAATGCTCCCTGCCTCCCAGCGTGCGACAGGCTTGGGTCTGGGAGCCCTCACGCCGGATTCATCCCCCGCGTTCGAAGCTGGGGTCAGGCCTCGGGGTACACCTCTCAGATTTGGAGCCTGTCCCTGCCCCAGGGCTCACTCCCTGCCCTTAGTCTCCTGTCTTTGAGGGGGTGCTGCCTGGTCTCCCCCATCTGCCTCTGGTCTGTTTCAGGCCCCCATTTGGGGCTCTCCAGACTTCACCCCAGTGTCTGGATCTCGGGTTTTAGGGTCTAGCTTTATCCCAGCCCATTTCCGACTTGGGGTCCCTGGAGTGCTGAGGGTGTCCCCCTGAGCTGAGGTGCTGGGGTCTTAGGGTCCATCTTCCCGTGTCCCAGGGACCATCCCTGTCTGGCCCTGTCTGTTTCTGGGGAAGCCTCAGGATGGGGCACTGGCCCCCACAGCCTCAGGGGCTCTCAGCCGCGGGTTCCCCCCAGGTCTATTTCCCGTACCTGCTCATCAGCAAGAAGCGGTATGCGGGCCTGCTCTTCTCCTCCCGGTCTGACGCCCATGACCGCATGGACTGCAAGGGCCTGGAGGCCGTGCGCAGGGACAACTGCCCCCTAGTGGCCAACCTCGTCACCGCCTCTCTGCGCCGCCTGCTCATCGACCGGTGTGTGGAACCCGCACCCGGACCTGGAGCCCGGCCTCTCTTCCCTCAGGCCCAGGAGCCCAGCCCCCAGCCCCTCCTCCCTTGGGGACACAGGTGTCAGGCCCAGCCCTTTGTCGGTGGCGGAGCTGTGGAAAGAGTGTGGGGTCGGACAGCTGCGGGTTCCGGCCCTGCCTCTGCCACTTGGCAGCCTGCGGCCGGGCAGGGCCCCTCCCCGCCCCTGGAGCGCATCCTGGTCCCCCAGCCTCAGGGCAGTGGAGGTGCCAGCCGGGCGGCCACAGCCACCGGTGACGCCCTGGTGACGCCCGTCCATCCATCCGCCCCCCTGCAGAGACCCCGCGGGCGCCGTGGCGCATGCGCAGGACGTCATCTCCGACCTGCTATGTAACCGCATCGACATCTCACAGCTGGTCATCACCAAGGAGCTGACCCGCGCAGCCGCAGACTACGCGGGCAAGCAGGCCCATGTGGAGCTGGCCGAGAGGTCAGCCCAGCGCGGTAGGGGGCGGGACCGGCCAGAAATAGCCCCTCTCCTTCCAGCTGGGCCCACCACTTCCTACCCCCCAGCTTGCCCCCACCGTCCCACCTGCCCTCACCCAGCCTGTCGCCCCGGTCTCCCCGCAGGATGAGGAAGCGGGACCCCGGGAGCGCGCCCAGCCTGGGTGACCGTGTGCCCTACGTGATCATCAGTGCCGCCAAGGGCGTGGCCGCCTACATGAAGTCCGAGGTCAGGCCCACCTGGGCTGCCCGCTCCCGCCCAGCTCTCCTCTGCTCTCACTTCTGCTTTCCAGGCCTGGCGGGGAGGGTGTTTCTCTCCGCAGGCCCCACGGGGCCTTGAGAACCGCCCCGCAACACACCCGGGGGAGTTGGCTCCACAGTGCTTTGCTCCGGGCCTCCCGGTACCCTCTGGAGAGGCCCTCCACCCCACCCCCCTTATTCTGACCCCGCCTGGCTCCATCCTGCAGAAGGGGGCCTAGCCTCACTGCACAGAGCGAGAGTGTCTGTCTCACCACCTGTTTCTGTGTCTCTTACTGACTCCTTGATCCTGGATCTTCAACTTGTAATTCTCTTGGATTCATACCCTCCCCTGTCCTACCTGGATGTCCAGTGACCTGTGACCCCACCCCCACCCCTTTGTCAGTCCCTAGTTCCTGTCCTGCTACCTCTTATCTTGGCTTCCAACCTTCAGCTCCAGCTCACATCCACCTTCACATCTCCTGTCCCCACCGTGAACTCTGACCCTTCCCTGGTGACCTGAGGGCTCCTACCTGTGGACCCTAGCATGGATCACAGGGCCTGCGGCCAGGGATCCCCATGACCTCTGACCCCATCCCAGTCCGGGCCCAGTGACTGCCCCCCACCATTGCCCCCACTCATGGCTGGAAGACGCACGGCAGCTCCCGGTGCCCTTCACCCTGGCTGCCCGCTGTTGACCACAGCCCCTGCCCCCCTGCCTGGCAGGGACCGCAGCCCCTTATCCCTTCCTGGGCCCCTGTGTGTGTGGCTGCGGCCCCTCCACTCTGCCCCCCTGGTGAGACCACCCCGGCCCCTCTGCCCGCAGGACCCCCTCTTCGTGCTGGAGCACAGCCTGCCCATCGACACGCAGTACTACCTTGAGCAGCAGCTCGCCAAGCCTCTGCTGCGCATCTTCGAGCCCATCCTGGGCGAGGGCCGGGCCGAGGCCGTGCTGCTGCGTACGGGCGGGGGGCAGCCGGGGCAGGCGGGGTACCGGGGTGGGGGGTGGGGGAGGGCATCGGGCCCACCGCCTGCCTTCACACGCAGGCGGGGACCACACGCGCTGCAAGACAGTACTCACGGGCAAGGTGGGCGGCCTCCTGGCCTTCGCCAAACGCCAAAACTGCTGCATTGGCTGCCGCACTGTCCTCAGCCACCAGGGTGAGCACCGTCCCCGACCCCGTTCCCCTGCCCTCCCACCTCTGCCGTCACCCGAGGTCCCCGGCACCGGCCCCACGGGCTGGCATGGCTACCTGCATAGGCCCCGGCCCCTGGGTGGGGGGCTCCTGTCTGCAGGCAGCCCCGCGAGGGTCCTGGGCCCCCCGCCCTGGGAGTTCCCCAGGGAGTTTTCTCCACACACTTGCTCCCTTGTTCTCTCATCGATGGGGACTTTCAGAAGCCGGGATGGGCAGCGGGCGGGGAAGGGGCAGGGGTGGGGCGGCCCAGGCTGACCTGCCCCCCTCCCCCACCCCAGGAGCCGTGTGCAAGTTCTGCGAAGCCCGGGGGTCGGAGCTGTATCAGAAGGAGGTGAGGGATCAGGGGAGGTGGGGAGGGGCAGCTGGGGGTGCGCAGGGCCGCCCACTCAGCCCTTCCATCCCCAGGTATCCCACCTGAACGCCCTGGAGGAGCGCTTCTCGCGCCTCTGGACCCAGTGCCAGCGCTGTCAGGGCAGCCTGCACGAGGACGTCATCTGCACCAGGTGGGCATGCCTGTTGGGCCCCAGCGCTGGACTGCCCAGGTTCCTCTGAGCTGCCGAGGCCTATGGACCAAAGCCCTGGCTCCGGGCTCTCAGGCTTCGGCGCCCCCCGCATCGCCGACCCTCGGCGTCCTGGCCTGCAAAACGGGCCAGTGCCCATCCCAGCCTTCTTGGGGTGGGGTTGGGGGCTGCTGAGTGGGGGGTGCTGGGCACCCAGTATCTGCCCAGGAAATGGGGAGACACACACACACACACACACACACACACACACATATACATACACACACACGGTCCTGGCCCCCTCCGCCAAGGCGGGGCCAGCCTTTCCCCAGGGAACAGGTGGGCGGGGCGGGTTCCCACGCCAGGTGCCAGGTGATATACGGCTGGTGGCCCAGCGCCTGAGTGAGCACCCGCTGTTATCGGCTCCCCCCATGCCCGCTGAGCAAACAGCCCATCGTGGGAGGGGAGGTGGGTGGGCAGCATACAGGGGCCAAAGTCCTGGGAACGGCCCCTGCCCCACCACTGGGCTGGGCAGTGGGACTCTGGTGTGCCCGGGCAGGGGCAGTGGCCCTGACCCCCGTCCTCACCCGCAGCCGGGACTGCCCCATCTTCTACATGCGCAAGAAGGTGCGGAAGGACCTGCAGGACCAGGAGCAGCTTCTGAGGCGCTTCGGGCCCCCCGGCCCCGAGGCCTGGTGACCTCTGACCTCGGCCGACTCCCCACAGGGGCCTTGTGGGGTGGGATGGGCGGAGAATTAATAAAGTTCAGGCCTTTTGTTACCCGGTGCTTTGTGGTCCCTGGGGGGTCGTGGTCCACTGTCATAAGCTCTGGCCCAAATGGGTTAGCTCCACTCAGTGGGATCCACTGACCCCCAGGAGGCCCTCACCGGACTCCCTCACCCTCCCTGCAAGCTCTCTGGGCCGGGTCTCACCCCCACCCCCGCGAGCCCTCCCTCGAGGCCCAGTGAGCAGAGCATCTATGGGCACAAGCTCCTCTGGCCCTGCTGCCCCGCCCTCCAGGTGCTGACCTGTTTCCTCCAGGCCTGGGGCAGCCCCTGGCTTGGAGGTTCCCGCTCCCCGGAACGACCAGGGGGACCCCCCTCTCATGTCACACACCCACAATGTTTCCACATTGGGGTCTCCACCGGCTTCGGCCCTGGGTTTTTCTCAGGGACCCCAGCCCAACCCACGTCTACTCTGAGAGCCCAGGGCCCCCCCACCTCTGACACCCCCCAGTGCTCTCGTCAGCCGGCGGTCTCGGCGTGCCCCCAGCGCCTGGCAACCCACTCCCCTCTGGTTCCTGGGTCCAGAGCCTCCCCCCACCCCCCCTGCCCACAGGACCCCTTGACCCCTCCTTTACTTTTTCAGGGTCCCCCCAAATCTGGCTCCTCTCCCATCTCCACTCCTTAGGGTCAATCCCCCCATCCCAACCCTGGGGATCCCCAAATCCAGACAGACCCTGGGCCCACCCTCCCTGCCACGTGACCAAGGGGTTGTGCAATCCAGCCCCCTCCCCTGACTCCCTCCCTGAGGGGATTTTTGAGGCGGGCTGAGCTCACAGCCGCCGGCACCCCTGCCCCCCCCAGGGGGCTGGGCCAAGGTATAAATAGGGGTGGTGTCTGCAGGCGGCAGCGAGCCCAGCCCAGCACCACCATGCTCACCCTAGAGGCTGCACAGTAAGTGGGGGCCACCCGAAAGTGGTACTCAGGACCCCTGCCCTGCACCTCACCTTTGACCCCTCTGCCGGGCCTGCCCCACCCAGGGGGCAGGTGGGTGGGAGGGGAGGGAGGTCCACACTGTCTCTCGCCCCTCCTGGATCTCTTTCCTCTGCCACCTCGATTCCTTCCTCTGTCCCATCCGTGTCTCCCCTGGACCCCAAAGATCTCTTTTCCTTGGGATGCTTGCTTCTCTGCCCTGCTGTCCTCTCCCAAGTGGCCCTCCATCTCTGTCTCTGTCCCCATCTCCTCGGAGTCTCACTGCATCCCCGACTCACTCACTGGGCCTGTTCACCGTGCTTCTTAGCACATCTTTTCTGTTTTGGGTCTCTGTTCTCTGCCTCTTGCTCCCTCTCTCTGTGTCTTTCTCTGTCTCTCCAGTTTGTTTCATCTCTCCTTCTGTCTCCCCGTCTGTCCCCCACCCCATCTATCTGTGGGGCTTAATAAATACTTCCTACATCCCATGCCATGTGAATTGTCTCTCCACACCTTTCTGCCTTCCCTCCTCTCCTCTCCCCTCTGCTGAACCTCTTCTGTGTTTTCCCATCTCTACCCCGACGTCCATCTCTCCATCTATCTCCTCCGGTCCAAGATGGACCCATTTAACCGACTCGCTCACCAAGGCCCCCGCCCCGCCCCCACCCGCCCTCGGGCGCCCACATCTCTCCGGGGACTTTCTCTCCCTCACTTTCCCTGCCCCCGCCCAGCCTCTGTCTATGCAAATCCCGGGGGAGGGGGAAACATTTGCCTGGCCCCCGCCCCCCACTTCCTGTCCTGGTGGGGGTGAGTGTGGTGGGGCTGGTCTCACACAGAGACATGCAGCAGTGAACGAGCTGTGGTGGTCACAGCTGCAGTCGCCTATCCCCCATCCGCCCAACCGCTTCGAGACTCAGGAGGCTGCAGGCTCCCCTGACATGCCCCTGTGTCTCTCCCCCTCCAGGCTTGACGGGCCGCACTTCAGCTGTCTGGTGAGTTGGGGCCCTGGGGGTCAGGGAGGGGTGGGGGGACCCACGTGGCCCATCGCGACCTCCCTGCCTCAGTTTCCCCCTCCACTCCTTCCTGCCCTTTGTCTTTCTGACTTTTCCTCGGTACCTCCAAGGACCCCCTTCCTACCCATTCCATCACAGAAGTTTTCCTAACATCTCTTCTCTTCTCTCAGACTCTGGTCCACTTCCTCGAACAGGGAGGGGTGGGTCTTTGTGTCTTTGACTTTGTGTCCCTTCCTCCGTCCATCCCACATTTAGTAAATCTACTTATTCCTTCTTCTCTTCTCTGCTTTACTTCGTATTTTCAAAAATTGAGTCTGGACTATTTCAGACGTGCAGAATACTATACCCCACCCCCATAAACCCACAGCTCAGTCCAAGAAATAAAACCCCACTCACGTGCTGGAAAGAAACCCCCCTGTGGGTGCCCCTTCGCCAGCACATCCCACCCTCCTCCAACTTGAAGAGTTTTTCTTTAAAAAAAAAAAATTGAGGTTTGCCTTACAAGTCAAGAAAGAGACGAATCTTGTGTGCAGCTCAGTGAGGTTTTAACATAGGCACACACCTGTGTAACCACGAACCAGACCGCGATAGAGAACATTACCATCACTCCGGAAGATTCCCTCACGTCCCTTCCCAATCAATACACCCCTCTGATATTTTCCACCATGGATTGGTTTTGCTTGGTTTTGAGCTTTATATAAAGTGAATCACACAGGTTTGACCCCTTTTGGGTCTGGTTTCCTCACGCGACATCAAGTGTGTGTCAGACGTTGGTCCTTTTTTCTTGCTGTATAGTACTCCATCCTAGGAACGCACCACAGTTTGTGTGTCCGTTCTCCTGTCTCTGGGCACTTGGGCTGTTTCCCATTTGGGGGCTGTTCCTAAAGCTGCGCTGATTGTTCTTGAACAAGGCTGTTTCGTGGACATACGTTTTCAGTGCTCATGGGTAAATACCTTGCAGTGAGATCACTGGTTTATCAGGATGGCATATATCTAGTTTTAGACTTTAATTGCTAAAGCAACATGATTCTTGGGATGAATCGGAGTGATATGGAGGGGGATAAAAAAAGCATGGAGAGCTTCTTTGCCTCTGTTAAAAACACTTCTGTGCCTCTCACCCTTCGGCCCCCTCCCCCTCCCCCAGGCAGGCAAGACTGGGGGAATTCATCTACACCTTCCCCAGCTGCTACAATGTCACAACTGTGTATCGGTGAGGTGCTGGGATTCCCGGAAGCCCACAGTCTTAGTAGGGGCTGGCTGCTGTGTCCCTTTGCGAGACCCTGGTCTCTTTCTATGCGTCCCTACCTGTGTCTCTCATTCTGTGTGTGTGTGTGTGCGCGCGTGCGTCTGGGTCTGGGCCTTTGTGTATTTCTGCTGTGTTGTATCTATCTCCCAACTCTGTATCTCTGGATGTCCCTCTCTTTGCCCTTGTCTCTGGTGCCTAGTCTCTGTGTCTCTCTTTCTCTCCCTCTCCCAGCCTGTCATAGTCTCCCCGCTGGTCCAGGGTTGGGTGGGGTCTCCCTGCAGCCTGGGTTGACCCCTTTTCTTCCCCAACCCCTATCAGTACCCAGATGGAGTCTTCTATGACCTGGACAGCTGCAAGCACTCCAGCTACCCCGACTCAGACGGGGCTCCTGGTGAGTGATCCTGGCCCAGCACCCTCCCCACCTGCCCCTTGGGCCCATTTTACAGATGGGAGAGCTGAGGCCCAGGGGAGGCTGTAACCTGGCACAGCAGGACAAGGTTAGCTCAGGCCTCCAGACCTCCTCCCCTTTTCTCTCCCAATCACCCGCTTGCCCATGCAAATCCTGGGGTCAGAGATTTGCACAGCCCACAATGGTCCCTCTGTGCCAGTGCAGGGGCTTCCAGGGGGAGGGGGCCGAGGCCAGACCTCTCAGCTTCTGATTCAGCGCCCTTCCCCCCAGATCTGTGGAGCTACGGCCTCAGTCCAGCTGTCCCAGCCGCCTCCTATGAAACCTTTGACCCGGCTGTGGCCACCTTCAGCCACACCCAGGGTGTCCAGCTCTGTTACGGACCCTCAACCTACAGCCCTGTGGGGAACCTGGACCCGGCCCCCAGCCTGGAGGCCCCGGGGCCTGGCTTCCCAGCATACCCCATGGAGGACTTCACAAGCCAGGTGAGGGGCGGGGTGACCATGAAAATCCCCATCATTTGGTTGAGATTTCCTAGGTGCCAGGCACTGCATCAAAACCTGTGCACACCGGAACCCCTTCATCCCTCTGACGACCCTCTAAGGTTAAGCAGCATTATTACTCCATTGCACCATTGAGCCAACAGAGGCACAAACGTGGGTCAGGGGCCGCACCAAAGGCCATTATCTGTGTGGAGCAGGCTCTCATGGAGGTGGCCCGGGCATCCCCTGGCCACGCCATGGAGATCTGAACCGAGGCCAGAGTGCAGGCTGTGAGCAGAGTGGGGAGGGCCACGGCCGGGGCCCAGGAAGAAGCCAAGGGACGAAAGCAGAGGGAGTGAGAGAAGGGGGACCTCCCTCTGGGACTACAGGTAACCCTGACCTTCCACAGACCCTGGGTCCCCTGGCGTACGCCCCATACCCCAGCCCCGTGCTGTCAGAGGAAGAGGACCTCCTGCTGGACAGTCCCGCCCTGGAGGTCTCGGACAGCGAGTCAGATGAGGCCCTCATGGCTGGCCCCGAGGGGAGGGGATCTGAGGCAGGTATGTGGGCGCAAGTGGGGTGGGAGGGACTCCAACTGGAGATGGGGGTGGGAGGTTAAAGGAACCATGTCTTCCCAAGCAACTAGTATATATACTCCAGCACTGAGGGCAGTTCCCAGATCTGCCATCTGCTGGCTGTGTTGCCTTGGGCAACTGTCTCTACCGCTCTGTGCCTTGGTCTCCTATCTGTACAGTGGGGATGACAGTAATAGTATCTATTGCTGGTGGTTGGGAGAATTAGGGGGGATCATACATGTCAATGAGATAGCAGTGTTCGGCACAGAGTTTGGCACTCAATAAATCTTCACCATCATTATGGACACAGTAGCAAAAGAAATCATCACAATATCAACTCCCATCTATCATTCAACCCCTGCTTCTGCCCCTGTGCCCTCCATTACTCACAACCCCTGGAAGTTGGAATTATTAGTTACTTTCCCTATCTGGGCCTCAGTTTCCCATCTGTAAAATGGGCATTGTTATTATCATCCCTATCTCGTGGGGTTATGATGAAGATTAAATGAGCTCATAATTGTTCAGTGCCTAGAGCAGCACCTGGTACTAAGCGCTTCAGAAAGATTTGTAAAAACACACACACAAGCCTCACTTTTAGCTGAGGAAACACCAGCTCAGAGAGGTTAAGTCACCACCCCAACGTCACACAGCTGGAAAATGGCAGAGGTGGGGTTCTTGTATCCAGTGCCTGCTATGAACCCCCCAACTCTGTGGGGCCCTTGCTGCTTAAAGGAGCCCGGGAGTCAGACCCCTTGGCCTCTCCCAGGATCCCAGTCCCCGCGGAACTGACACACTGAGTGACCTGGAGCTGGAGAAATGGCCACATTCAAACCCACTTCAGATCTCTTCACCACAAGTCAGCTCTGTCATAAGTCTTTGAGGAGCATTGCCAACCCATTTCACAGATTCATCCATGCGCTCAACAGATACGTGCTGGCCACCAAGCAGTCACAGGACAGAGACACATCCTGAAATATAAAGCAGGGATGGGAGATGGGGGTTATGGGGTGGCACATTCAGGAAAGGGGAGCAACTTGCCCCGGATGGGAGTGTGGCACAGACAGAGGCAGGTGTACCTAGCAGCCACCTTCGTCACCCCAATTCTCTTTATGGGGAGACAGAGGCTTGGCGGTTCCGGGACGGGGTGAAGCGGGGAGGGGGTGGGGCGGGGCCCTAAGGATGCTTCAGCTAACGCGCCCCGCACCCGCCGCAGGGGCCCGCAAGAAGCTGCGCCTGTACCAGTTCCTGCTGGGGCTGCTGACGCGCGGAGACATGCGCGAGTGCGTGTGGTGGGTGGAGCCGGGCGCCGGGGTCTTCCAATTCTCCTCGAAGCACAAGGAGCTCCTGGCGCGCCGCTGGGGCCAGCAGAAGGGCAACCGCAAACGCATGACCTACCAGAAGCTGGCGCGCGCCCTGCGCAACTACGCCAAGACCGGCGAGATCCGCAAGGTCAAGCGCAAGCTCACCTACCAGTTTGATAGTGCGCTGCTGCCCGCCGCCCGCCGGGCCTGAGCCCGGGGCGGCCTCTCGGGGGCTCTCAGGGGCTCCACGCCTGTGTCACGTGGGCGTCCCCACACCCTAGGTCCTAGGACCCACGGATCCCCCATCCTGGCTGCGGGGGCGGGGCGCTGCCACAATCCCTAAGCCCTGCCCAGGGTCCCTCTGGGATCCCCCCAGTCATGTCTGGGGCCTCTTTGGGATTCCCTTGTCATGTCCAGGGGCCCCAAGATCTTCATGTCTTGGGTTGAAGGACCCAGAGACGACTATACTTATGTGTCTGTGTGGAGGGGCGGGGCAGGGCAGTGCTTCCAGAATCCCAAGAGCTTCTCTGGGATCCCCTTGTGATGTCTGAGATCCCTTGTGTGTCTGCGATCTCTCAATCTCATCTAGGGGAGGGTGAGCCTACAGATCATCACACCAAGAGGGGGACTCTGCCAGCAACCCTAAGCCCTGTCCAGGGTCTTTCTGGGATCCCCTTCTCATGTTTGAGTCCCTCCTGTCCCATCTGAGATCTCCTAGTTATGTCTGGGTCCCTCTGGGAACCCTTTGCATACATGTCTCTGTGCCCATCTGTGACTCTCATTCTGTCTGTCCCCCCAGATCCCTTTGTCATTTTTGAGATCCCCTAATTCTCTGGAACCACCCTGCTATCACTTGTTTATGTCTGGAATTCTCCGATCACATCTACGGTGCCTCTGGGATCCTTTTGTCATGTCTGAAAACACCCTTGTCAGGTCTGGAGGGCGGACCTCAGTGAACCTTCTTGTATCCGGGCCACCTCTGCGATGCCCTTGTTTGTCTGGAATCCTCCAATCACATCTGAGGCCCCTCTGGGATCCTCATCTGGTATGCCCTTTTGGGGACCCCACCAACAGCTCCGAGTTCTCCTGGGGACCCTCCGCCTCCTGTAATGCCCTCCCTAGGGCCATGCTGGCGATCAATTCTGGCCACTCAACTGATTTCTGGGTGACCGTGGCAGCCCCCCCATGTCAGTTCTAACCAGAGACTTTGCACCATCCAGCAACAGTGGGCCAGCTTTTCGATGTGGAGAGGCTGGAGCAGGGTGTTGGCCGCTTCTAATGGGGAATCTGTTTTCCAATCTGCTCAAGTCCCCATCGCCCCTGGCTGTCATACCCCGGTGGCTTCTCTCAGTTGTCCGTTCGCCCCAACCATTCTCGTGTGAATCCAGCCTGAGCAGAAGAAGACCGGATGAACTGTGGGAGCTCTGATTGGAACCCTCGGGGGGTGTCAGAGGCTGTGGGCTAAGAAGCCGGAGTCCCAAGTCCTTGAGCCTGGGTGGCTGGGGGGTCTAGGGTGAAAGACTTGCTGCTTCTGGGCCAGTTTGGCCCTTCTGTGAAAGGGGAGAGGAGGAGGAAGATCTCGGAAGGCCCTTGCAGCCCTGTCAAGCCTTTGATACATCTGAAATCCACCCATCCGCCCACTGGTAGCCAGAAGGAAGTCGAGGAAGGAGCACCAAGGATCCAGAGAGGGAAGAGGTCCTTGAGGGGGGCATACAGCGGCTGGTAGCAGAGCCCAGGCTGGGACCTGCCCTCGAGGACAGCACACCCCCCTCCCTGGGGCGGTGCCAGGGACAAAATGTCTTTTGGGAGGGCCTCCTCTTGCAAATGAGGTACCTTTTACGAAAACTATCATCATCACCCCAAGTTTGGAATAAAATAAAATAAGTCAAGGTAGACAGACCTTCTAGGACCCTTTGTCAGGGACCGCAATGCTACCCATCCATCCGGGCCTGCTGGCCCTCAGAGACACTGGGACGGCGAGGGGGGAGATAAGAGAGGAGATGCAAGAGGCAGTTAGAGCCAAACCAGGCCGAGCCTTGAAGGCCGCGGTCAGGGCTTGAGATGCAGGCACTGGTGGTTCGATTCAGTTTTTGTCTCCGTCTCTTCTTGACGATTGGAGTTCTTCCCCACCCTCTTCCTGATTCCCTTTCCGTCTGGGTCTTGTCCCTCGTTTCTGAATTTCTGCCCTCCTCCGGATCTCTGTCCTCCTCTCGCTGGATAAGGCCCGCGGGTAGCGAGCGAGGCTCCCAGCTCTCCAGGCGCTCCACCAACCTGCTGGGCCCGCAGGAGCCGCGCAGCAGTCTGCCTGGCAACCCATGACGTCACAAGGGGGCTGCCTTCGGGTTGGCTCCGCGCTTGGTGGAGGCGGGGAATTTTCCAGCTCTTAGGGGGTTTTGGAAAAGAATGGTGTGAGTGGGGGGGGTGCGGGGGTTGGCGATGGGCAGGAAGAAAACGGTGAGGGACTTGTCTTCAATAACACCGGGTCCTCCAGCCGGCGTTACTTCCCCGCCTGCCCTCCGCCTTAACTCCAAGCCACACCCACCTCGCCCTCCTCTCCAAAACACCTGGTGTCCTGGAGACCCTCTCCTCCCGCAATCCCCTCATCTCCTTCACCTCCCCGCACCCCCGCGTCCGGCCACCACTACCCCCATACGGAAAGCCACAGGCACCCCTGCCGGGAAGGGCGCCAATGTCTGGGCAGCCCTCCAGGGCCTTCCCGGTCTCCCCACCCGCCCCCGCTGGGGCACCCGCCCCCTCCCCCGCCTCCGGTGCCCGCCGCGCCCGCTCCGGGAACCATCGCGGGGAGCCCGCAGGGCGCGGTCCCACGAGGGGCCGCGGCCAATCCGGGGTCCCAGGTGGCCGGGGCCCAAGCCATCACGTATGCCCACGCCCGGGGGTGGGACTCCGGAGTCCCCGACACTCAGTGCCCTCCCTGCGGGCACACAGACCTCCCCCCGCCTCCCCCGCGGCCATCCTGCCTACCCTGGGAAACCGGACCCTCCCTCCCGGCTCTGGTTTCCCGAAAACTCCTGACTTGCAGATACTAAGAATGGCTTTCTAGACCCTGTCTTCCCCACCATCCTCAACCCCCATGCCGGAGTTCTGGCTCAGAACCCTCACCCACTTCAGACCCCAGTCCTTTACTGTCCCTCCGCCTAGGACCCAAGAGTCCAGGCCCTCATCCTTCTTTCTCTGGGACCCAAAAATCTGGACTCCAGGTCCCTTCTGCACCGGGACCCAGGAGTCCAGGCCCTCAGGCCCCCTTCCCTCAGACCCGGGAGTCACCCGCCTCTGGCACGTCCTCCCTCGGACCCAGGTGTCGGAACCCCAGCCCCTCCTCCCTGGGGACCTGGCATTCAGCCATCTCTCCTTGTCCAGCTGTTATTTCTCGCCCTTTCGAACACACAGGCGGAATGTGGGGCTGCAGGGGAGGGTGGGGAGGCGCGTCTGATGCCTCCCAGGGCTTCCTGGGAGTCTCGGGACTCCTTAAAGGGCTCCCCCCGGGGCCCACCTGTCCTCCTTAAGGCCCATCGGGACACAGCTGCGGTCAGAGGAGAGAGAGCAGGTCCGCCGACATGCCTGAGGAAAAACCAGGTGGATTTGGGGACTCCCTCCCTATGTGGAGACGCGATTCTGTTTTCTGAATGGGGACTGGGGGCTTCTCCCTCCATAGGGTTGGGAGAATGGGGTGCCTTCTCTGTGTGGGGAGGAGCTCCCTTCCTTGTGTGGGATAGGAGGGTCCCATACTTGTGTTAGGTGGGAGGGGGTTTCCCCTTCCCTGTGGGGTGGTAGGGGTTCCTTTCTCTGGGGAGTTGGGGGTTTATCTCTGGGTGCAGATGGAGATTCTCTGATTATGAATTTGTGTCCCTTTTTCTCGTTGAGGATGGGAGTCCTGTGGTTGTAGACTGCGGAATCTTTGCAGGGTGTTTGGGGTCCTCTACATTTGGGGATGGGGTCTTCTGGGAAGGGACCAGGGTCACTTCTCTGAGTGAGGATTGGGGTCTTTCGCTGCAGGGGAATGAGGTCCTCAATGTGCCTAGATATTAGAGGTTCAAGGTACAAGGTTGTACAAGGTTGAGGGGACCTCATTTCAATGGGAATTGGGGCTTCCCCATGTAGGAATTAGGGGACATTCTCCATATAGAGGCTGGTGAGCTTTTCTTCATGTGCAGTTTTGGGGCCCTTCTTTGAATGGGACTGGAGGCATTTCTTTATATGGGGTTGGGGCTTTCTCTCTATGAGGCAGTGAACAGAGGAGACACAAGCCCCCAGGGAGGACCCCCTCCTCCCGGGGTGTCCAGTCCGCTGGCACCAGACCAACGAGGCTGAGGGATGGTGGTCCAGCCCCTCGCTGCAGCTGGGGGCCCCAGCGGGCCAGGTGCCAGCAGGCAGGACGGGTGCAAGATGCTGTGGTCAGCAGGAGTATCCAGTTTCCAGCCCAGGGGAAGAGCTAATTATACCTCCAAGACCTAAAAGGTCAGAGCCTGGTGGCCTGGGTGGATGGGGCATGGCCTGCCTGGGGCAAGGAGAAACCGGATCTCACAGACTCTGGGATTAGAGATAAATTTACACCTGGACTGCTGGACTCCAGATTCCGAAGGAGGAGGGGCCCAGGGACCTGTACTCCTGGGTTCTGGAAGAGGAGAACGCTGAGCACGCGCTCAACTGTGAATATCTCCTGCCTCACAGCGGCCAAAAATGCCCCCGCAGGCAAAGATGCCACCAAACCGGCTCCCAAGGAAGCCCCGCCTCCAGAGGCTCTTGCAGAGCCCCCCAAAGGTGAGATGGTGTTCCAGAGGGCCGGGCAGAAGCTGGCACCTCATCCCCCAGCCTCCGCTGGCCCCTCTGCACCTTCCCGCTCCCTCTCCTTTAGTCCACCCTCCCCACAGCTCCAGTGCTGACCGCCCTCCCCTGCTCACAGCCTTCCCTGGCTCCCCAGTGCCTCCAGGACAGAGCCTAGCCCCTCAGCCTGGCCTTCAAGCCCCCAGCAACTGGCTCATTCATCACCGAGTCCTGCCCAGCTCTGAATGCCCCAGTCTATCCTCTCCTACCCCAAAGCCCCATTTAAGACCATCCGGTTCACAGATGGGGAAACTGAGGCCCAAAGGGGCGGGGAACCTGGTCACGCAGCTACCTGCATGAAGCGTGGTCTCTCCCAGGTCAGGAGAAGCCACTGTGCCCCAAGGTCTTTGACTGCTGAGCAGAGGGTCCCTCATTCACTCTCAACCCCGCCCCCAAAGTGGCCTGCCGTCCCCTCCCTGGCCGGCCTTAGACCCCCTAATCCTGTCTCCTGAGCAGAAGCCCCACCTGAGGACCAGTCTCCCACCGCTGAGGAGCCCACCGGCATTTTCCTGAAGAAGCCAGCCTCTGTGTCGGTGGAGACTGGTGAGGGGTGTCTCGGGGAGGATCGGGTGGGGGCTGGGCTCCTGGGTCTGAGGGAGGCGGGGCTGGGGTCTCCCGGCTTCCTAGTCCTCTCCGTAGAGTCTTATGACTCCTGCCTGGCCATTCCCTCCCACCCCTCCACCCCCACCCAGGAAAGGATGCCGTGATCTTGGCCAAGTTGAACGGGAAAGAGCTGCCGGACAAACCAGCCATCAAGTGGTTCAAGGGGAAGTGGCTGGAGCTGGACAGCAAGAGTGGGGCCCGATTCTCCTTCAAGGAGTCCCACGACTCTGCCAGCAATGTGAGGACCCTGTGGGGACTCGAGGGCTTGTGGGCCAGGGCTGGAGGTCGTGTGGAGCTCCTTGGTAGGGGTTGTGCCGGGCAGGAGGGAAGAATGTTTGGGCCGGGGCAGGGTGCACCTGGGCACGGCGTGTGCGTGCCCAGAGAGCTCTCAGGGTCAGGGACGCAGGCCCCCAGAGGCCAAGATTGTCCAGGCATGGGAAGAGACAGCTGGCCCTTCCTGGGGGCACTCAGAGTTGTGAGGTGGGCTCTGGGGGAGGTGGGGTGGCACTGGGGGTCGGACATGTGCACCCATACCCCTGGCCTGGCCCCCAGGTATACTCCTTGGAGCTGCACATCGGGAAGGTGGTACTGGGTGACCGCGGGGATTACCGCCTCGAGGTCAAAGCCAAGGACATCTGCGACAGCTGTGCCTTCAAAATTGATGTGGAGGGTACGCTGGCGGGGGTGGGGACCAGGGGTCTTGGGTCTGGTTGCGGGGGATGGATCTGTCAGCCAGGTGTGGGGAGAGTATACTGATGTGGGGACAAGGCGGGCACAGGTTTTCGGAAGATGGAGCACAGAGGCAGGGGTCAGGTTGTTCAAAATAGGGGAGACGATCTACCGGCTTAGAGGGTGAGGAGGTGTAGATTTGGGGGTGAAAAGGTTCAGGGTTTGGGGGTGTTCACGTGGAACTTAGGAGGTGAGTTATGTAGATTCCAGGGTCACAGTGTACAAGCTTGAGAAAGTGGCAGTAAGGGCTCGGGAAGTGAGGGTGTCCCAGGGTTTTTTTGTTTTTTGGTTTTTTAAAGTATAATTTCCATTTTATTGTCTACTGTTTATTTCAGGGGAGTCTAAGGGTGGACAGGTTTAGGGTGAGGGTGTACAGGATTGATGGGAGGCTACACAGATTTGGGAGCATGTGTATGGAACTCTGAGAGTGTACAGGTTTTGGGGCATCTGCAGCCCAGGATGTGTGGGGACTTAAACATGGAGGGCACAGGGAATGAGGCTGCCCAGCCCCGGGGAGAAGGGCCAGCCGGCCCAGGTGTGAGGGGGATACAGGCCGCTGAGAGAGGGTGGTGCATGGCAGCCAGGGAAATGCGTCTACAAGCAGAGGGTGTCCAGGCCCAAGTGAGAGGGTGTGCTGGCCCAAGAGATGGAGGAAAAGGGGCCTGGGGGAGGTTGTGCAGGCCCGGGGTGGGCACTCTTGTTCTTAGATCAGGCCTTGCCTCCAAGCTCACCTTCCCTTCCCCCATTGCCTCTCCCCAGCGCCCAATCAGGACTCCGCTGGGCAGAGTCTAGAAAGCTTCAAGCGTTCGTAAGTGACCCTGGACCCTGGGGAGGGGCAGGAGTATGTCCTGGTGCCAAGGACCATGGGAGGGTGTCCCTTGGGAGGGGCAGCTGTGGGAGAAGGGGAGGATCAGGGAGGGCAAGGAGTGGGGACCCAGGGTGAGTCTGAGGGTTGGGACCTCCATGGGGTTCACACTCCCTCTCAATGGCCACAGGGGTGAAAAGATGCCGGAAGGCAAAGGTGAGCTGGATTTCAGCGGCCTGTTGCAGAAGAGGTGAGTCCACCCCGCCTGGCACAGAAAGGGGAGATGGGGCCTCAAGGAGGAGAAGGATGGTGGGTGAGGCCCCCCTGCCCCCCGTTGCTTCCGCACTGCCATCCCAGGACTCTGCCTCCCCTCCATCTACCCATTCCTTGCCCACCCAGCCACCTGTCCATTCACCCATCCACCCATTCACCCACACCCCTACCCACAGCCCCACCCAACCAACAATCTGCCCATCGCTTCTCCTACCTACCCACCCTTTAATCCATCGTCCTCACATCCACTTTCCTGTCCACTCAGGCTCCAATTCACCTACTCATCCACCTGTTCACCCAACCAACCATCCATCCATCCACTTGTCCATTCACCCACCCACCAGGCTGTCCACTCATCCAGCCAGCCAGCCAGCTATTTATCCATCTACCCATCAACCCACCCACTCATCAGCCTGCCCACTCATCTATTCAGGCAACCAGCTACCTATTTATCCATCTACGAATCTACCCATCCACCTACCTGCCCACCGCCCATCCATCTGCCCACATATCCATTCATCTACCCGCCTCTTCCCACTTGTCCGTCCATGCATCGGCCATTACACTCAGCCACCCATTCATTAACCCATTCATTCATCCTTCACCCACCTACCGCATCATCCACTTCCCCATCTATTGAGGCACCCATCTATCCACGTTTCCACCAGCCATCTGTCTACCATGCATCCACCTTCCCATCTGCACCTGTATCTCTCTTTCAACTGAGTCCAACATCCCACCCATCTACTCATCCACCTACCCATCTAGCCAGGCTTTCCTCTGTCAACTGTTCACCTCTTCAACGGCACGCCCATCCTCCCAGATAGCTCCCTGTTAGACTCATCTATATGAAGTTGCTATTCTGTAGGTAAAAAATGATTGAATACTGGCAATTTCATATTATTCTACATGATGCTTGTCCAATCACTCAGTTATTCATCATCTGCTGGTCCACGGATCCATCCTTCTACTCACTCAACTATCTCCATAACCAAATCCCCAGAAACTCCGTTTACTAATAGATTCATCTGTTTGTCTTTACCCAGCCAACCATCTTCCCAGGCATCTTCCATCAACATATTCACCCAACTGCTCACCCAGCCATCTGCCACCAACTCATCAATCCACCCACTTACCCAGCCATCCTCCATCAACCCATCCACCTGTCTTAATGCCACCCATCCCCTACCAACCTACCCATCCATTGACCCATTCATCCATCAACTTAGCCATCCATGGACCCCTCCACCCATTTACCAGTTCCCCACCTAATGCTCTGTACATCAATCCAGATATTCACATGTCCCCCAAATTCACCCACGCATCTATCCTTCTTTTGTTCCCTCCCCTTCCTTCCTTCTTTCCAGAGATTCACTCTCTCTCACTCATCAAACATCTTCTGAGGCCTCCCGTCTACCAGGCCCTGATGAGGGGACAGGGAGAAGTTTGACTGGTTCCCTGACACTGAGTCGCTCATTGCCTTGGGAAGATGGGTCTGATCCAGCAGACACAGACACAGACCACGACTGTTTAGTGTGGTCAGAGAGAAGGTCCCACGAGGGCCTCGTGAGAGCTCAGAGTGAGGGCAACTGAGGTGCTGGCAGGACAGGGGGTGCCTCATGGAGGAGGGAACTTCGGTACTAGCATTTGTAGGATTGAAGAGCAGGTGGAGATGGGTCATCCAGGCAGGGAAAGACGTTGTGCAAAGGCTGGGATGCAGGAGCGAGCCCAGAGTGCTCAGGAAAAGGCAAGTAGGGTGGTTTGGATAGTTGTGGGAGTGTGATGGGACAGAGGGCGAGGTTGTGATTTCGAGGCTGAGTGGCTGGGGTTTCCTCCTGAGGGCAATGGGGAGCTATGGAGGAGTTTTGAGCAGGGAAGGGGTGGCATCTGATGTGGGGGTCAGAAATAGCCCTCTGGGGCCAAGTGGGGAACCGACTGGAGGTGAAGAGATGAGATGAGGTCAGGAGGCCAGGGAGGAGGCTGGAGCAATGGTTCAGGTGGGACAGGATAAGGAATAACAGACCCAGAGAGAGAAAGTGACACAGCAAGTGAGTGGAGAAGGCAGAGGGAGACCCTCACCTCCTCACTCCCTGGTGGCCCCGGCCTGTTCTCTCCACCTTCAGGCAGGTGGTTGAGGAGGAGAAGAGAAAGAAGAAAGATGACGATGATCTAGGCATCCCGCCTGAGATTTGGGAGCTCCTGAAAGGGGCAAAGAAGAGCGAGTATGAGAGGATTGCCTTCCAGTATGGCATCACTGACCTCCGGGGCATGCTGAAGCGACTCAAGAAGGCCAAGGTCGAGGTCAAGAAGAGTGCAGGTCAGTGCTGGTCTGAGGGGAGACGGGCCCTGCCCATAGGGACTCCAGCACCATAGGTATCTGATGTTTGGACCCTGGACTTATCTTTTGGAGGTCCTAATCTGAGGAGTAATAGAGATGCCAGTTCTCAGGGGCCTCCAAGTTCACAGGAGGCTCTCTGACCTTGGTGGTCTGGGGAGGGAGACTTGACAGCTCAGGACAGTGAGAACCTCTCAGCTCCATCCCGCTTGCATCCCTCAATCTCCAGCCTTCACGAAGAAGCTGGATCCAGCCTACCAAGTGGACAAAGGCAACAAGATCAAGTTGGTGGTAGAGATTAGCGACCCAGACCTTCCCCTCAAGTGGTTCAAGAACGGTCAAGAAATCAAACCAAGTAGCAAGTATGTGAGAGGGGCAGTCCCCGGGCTGGGGGTATCCAAGTCCCAGAGAGGGAGTCCAGAAATAAGGCTGGCCACTCTTAACCCAGAAAGGGCACTCCCTCATCCATATGAAAAGTGCAAATACCTCGGTAGAGAAACAGACAAAGGCGATGAAGAACAGGAATTCAGTTAGAAGAAACCCAAGTAGCTAATTCACTAAGTACATATTCAACCTTGCAAACACAACCACCACCACCACTAATAATAACGCAAGTCAAAACAACGGTCTTGGGACTTCCCTGGTGGCCCAGTGGTTAAGACTCTGCACTTCCAATGCAGGAGGCCCGGGCTCGATCCCCGGTCAGGGAACTAAGATCCCGCACGCCACAGCTAAGACCCGGCGCAGCCAAATAAATAAATAAAATAACTATTAACAAACAAACAAACAAAAACCCCACCAACGGCCTTTCTGCTCTCCAAATGGGCAAAAACTTTACAAAATGATAAAATCTGGACTCCCCGGGCTGTCCAGTGGTTAAGACGCAGCGCATCCACTGCAGGGGGCGCGGGTTCGATCCCTGGTTGTGGAACTGAGATCCCCGTATGCCTCATGCCGGGGTGCAGCCCCCCCCCCCAAAAAAGGATAAAACCTAGTGCTGGAGAAGACATAGGGAAATAGGTCCACATGTTACTGGTGGGAATGTAAATTGGCAAATCTCCAAAAGGGCAGTGTATTCTAAATCCTTTATCTGTTTTTAAAATATTTCTTCCTTTTGGCTGTGCCAGGTCTTAGTTGCGGCATGCGGGATCTAGTTCCCCGACCAGGGATCGAACCCAGGCCCCCTGCATTGGGAGAGCGGAGTCTCACCCGCTGGAGCGCCAGGGAAGTCCCCCCAAAGCCTTTAGATCGTGCAAGCCTAGGTATTTATCGTAAGGGCATGATCATGGTTATGCGTGATCATGCTGCAAGGATGTTCACTGGAACATTTGCTGCTGTAGCAAAAAGTCAGATAACCAAAACACACAATTCCATGTTAAGGTGCTGTGCAGTCACTAAAAAAGATATTCTAAAATTTATACTAACATGGGAAGCTGTTCAAGATTAGTGTTATGTTGTTATGAAGCAGAAACCAACACACCATTGTAAAGCAATTTTACTCCAATAAAGATGTAAAAAAAGAAAAAAACAGATGAGTGTTATGTGCAGAAGCACAGTGCTCATCTCTGCTTCACAAAATGTTAATCTACATGTAAATTAGATATAAAAAGATTGGAAAGAGAGAGGCCAAAATATTTGTAGCTGTTATCTCTTGATGATGCCATTATGGATGGGTTCTATTTTTATTATTTTCCCCTCGGCTGTGTTTTCCAAATTTCTCATCACGAGCATTTTGGATAAGATAAAAATTATGTTAATTAAGTTACAGGTTAGGCTTCCCTGGTGGCGCGGTGGTTGAGAGTCCGCCTGCCGATGTAGGGGACGTGGGTTCGTGCCCCGGTCCGGGAAGATCCCACATGCCGCGGAGCGGCTGGGCCCGTGAGCCATGGCTGCTGGGCCTGCGCGTCCGGAGCCTGTGCTCCGCAACGGGAGGGGCCACAGCAGTGAGAGGCCCGCGTACCGCAAACAAAACAAAACAAAACAAAGCAAAGATACAGGTTAAGTTGCCGTAACAGAGTCCCCAGAACGTATTAATTTAGAGAGAAAGATATTTCTGGCGGATTGAGCTAGACGCAGTTCCATATTTTTTGGCTACACCATTTCTCGTGGTGGTGTCCTCATCTGCATGATTGAAGCGGGTCATGGGCACATCTGTGTCTATCAGACAGGAAGCTGGCAGGAGAGAAGTCTAGAACAAGCACCGCAGAATTACAGATGACCTTGCAGTTATGCCATCACATCCATTCACATTCTGTCTGTCCAAGCTCAGTGGTGCGGCCCGCCGAGCCACAAAGGAGGCTGGGAAATGTAGTTGTCTAGGTGGGTCGCTGTGTGTCCCTACTAAATGGAAGAGACGGATATGGGTGGACGGTCAGTATTTCTGCTGTGGTTACGTAAATACTAGAAATTGGACCGTCGATCTCCTCCCACACAATTTGGCTCTGAGAGGGAGTGGCCTGTCCTGAGGATAGATGGGTGGACGCAGAGTCTCCCCCATGCCCTGGCTTGAGCTGAGACTTCTGCGTCAGGCACGTGTTTGAGAATGTTGGTAAGAAGCGAATTCTCACCATCAACAAGTGTGCGCTGGCGGACGATGCTGCTTATGAGGTCGTCGTCAAAGATGAGAAGTGTTTCACTGAGGTCTTCGTCAGAGGTGAGGCCGGGATTTGGGCGTGAGCTTGGGGAGTGGGGCTCTGGAGGGGATCCTGAACCTACTGACCTCCTGTCGCCCTGCGCCCCACAGAACCCCCAGTCTTGATTGTCACACCCCTCGAGGACCAGCAGGTGTTTGTGGGCGACCGGGTAGAAATGGCAGTGGAGGTGTCAGAAGAGGGCGCCCAAGTCATGTGGTAAGTGACTCTTGACCCCTGATCTCCACACAGATGCCCACAGTGTCTTTGTCTCACAGTGTCTTTGCCCACAGTCATCCATACAGATGCCCACAGTGTCTTTGTCTCAGTCTTGATCTTTAGGACCTCTCTCTTTTTTTTTTTTTTAAATTCAATTTTATTAATTTATTTTTGGCTGCATTGGGTCTTCGTTGCTGCGCGCGGGCTTTCTTTAGTTGAGGCGAGCAGGGGCTACTCTTCCTTGCAGTGCGCGGGCTTCTCACTGCCCTGGCTTCTCTTGTCACGGAACACGGGCTCTAGGCCCGCGGGCTTCAGTAGTTGTGGGGCACAGGCTCAGTAGTTGTAGTGCACGGGCTTAGTTGCTCCGCGGCATGTGGGATCTTCCAGGACCAGGGCTCGAGCCCGTGTCCCCTGCATTGGCAGGCGGATTCTTAACCACTGAGCCACCAGGGAAGCCCCAGGACCTCTCTTGAAGATTTCAGACCTTTAACCGGTAGTTTCCAGGAGACCTCAGCCTTTCTCTATAAATCCTGATCCTCACCCATGACCTCTTTCTGAAACTTCTGACCTCTCCCCATCCCATCCTCTTCCAGGTCTTTTTCCTGATCCCTGCTATTTCTGATTCTTTAAGTTATTTATTCACCCATTCAACCAATTATCCATGCTTTGACTATTCATTCATGTATCCATCCATCCATCTCCCCAGCCCCCAATCCATCCATCCATCATCTCCCCATCCATCCCATTGATTCATCCATCCATCCACCCACCCGTCCACCCACTCACCCATCTACCCATCCATTCGTCCATTCTTACATCTATTCTCCCTCCAACGAGTCTTTATTGAGCACCTGTTGTGTGTATTGGAGAGAAAATGGAGAGAATATATATTAACATGGCACCTGCCCTTGTGGAGTTTATGATCTGGCCAACTGCTGGGGTGGAGTGTGTGTGTGTGTGTGTGTGTGTGTGTGTTGGAGACAGAAACAGGCATTAATAAAGTCATCACACAAATAAATATCAAAGTTTTATTTTGACAAATATTGATATTGCAGAGGATCAATAACTGATGCTATAACCACTTTTTAATAGGGGAAAAGGACTCAGGAGGTCAGGGAAAGCTTCCTGGAGGAGGTGACGATTGAGATGAGGTTCGAATGATGAGGAGGTAGAAGTGAAGTGGGAGGACTGGACCAAGCAGGGAAGCACCATTTACTGAGGCCACAATATTTGACATCTCTCTGTGACCCCGAACTTCCTCCATGTTCTGACCTCTCCCCATGACCCTTTTTTTGTGTCTCCTGACCTCCAACTGAGACCTGTGGCCTGTCACCTCTTCTTCCTCTTTTTCTCCCCAACCCCCACCTGTGATCCATCCATTCTAGACACCTCTGTCAACCTTTGTCTCTCCTCCTTTGCGTGATCTCCCTTCTGACTCCTGATTCCTGCTCAGGACTGTCTGTCTGGCCCCTCACTCACCTCTGACATCCAGACTCCAGCCTAAGCGGGCCCCTCACTTCCCCCCTTCCTGTCCCCTCCACCCAGGATGAAAGATGGCGTGGAACTGACGCGGGAGGATTCCTTCAAGTCCATGTACCGCTTCAAGAAGGATGGGAAGCGTCACATCCTCATCTACTCGGATGTGACCCTGGCGGATAGTGGTCACTACCAGGTCATGACCAACGGCGGCCAGTGTGAGGCGGAGCTCATCGTGGAAGGTAGGGGGCCTCCCGGTGGGGCAGGGAGCCGCATTGCGCATGCCTCAACGCGCCACTCGAAGTTGCCCAAGCCCCAAATCTTGGAGCTGTCCCTGACTCCTTCTTTGCTTCATACCCTACATTTGATTCACCAGCAAATCCCGGTGGCTCCACCTTCCAAGGATATCCTGAATCTCACCACTTCTCTCCACCTCCATTGCCCTCACCTGGCCCAGGTCTCCATCCCCCCCCCTCATACCCTGGACTGTGGCAATAGTCTCTTCACTGCTCTCTCTGTTTCTACACTTGCGCTTCAACCCTGACTCCAGCCAGAGTGATCCTTGTAAAATGTCAGGTGGTGAAAACTGAACACATTCTGTGGTCTAGTTCACAGGACTGGACCCATGTCGGTTTCCTGGTTTGGATAGTGGACTACAGTTACGAGAGATGTCACCATTGGGGGGAGCTGGGTGAAGGGTACATGGGACTCTATGTGCTATTCCCCCCCCCCTTTTTTTCTATGTGCTGTTTTTACAAACTCCTGTGAGTCTGTAATATTTTCAGTATAAAAAGTAAAAAAAAAAAAAAAAAAGCCCGAGTCATTAATAGGCCAGATAAGTGATGGTAGTTCCCTCTGTAGCCATAAAAAAGAACAATTTTTAGTTAGTGATTTGGAAGGGTTTCCAAGATGTATTGTTAGGTGAAGAAGCAAATATGCCGCTATTTGTATGGAGGGGAAAGAGAGGAAGCAAGGGAAGGAGGGAGGGAGGAAGGAAGGAAAGAAGGAAAGAAAGAAAGGAAGGAAGAAAGAGAAAGAAAGAAGGGAATGAACTGTGTGTACATCTTTGCTTTTCTGGCTATGAACTGGCTATAGTGTCTTTGGAGAAGGGATCGAGACCGGTACGATTGGAAGTGGGCGGGTGAGAGATTTCCCGCTCTATATCTACATCCTCTTATCATTTTATTTTTAAGCCATACAAGTCACATACAAGCAGCATACAAGCATTGTTTTATTTAAAAAATTAAAAAGAAAATGTAAGTCAGATCGCAGCCATGTTCCCAACACCCTCCAGCAGTTTCCACCTCACTCGGAGTCAATGCAAAGTGCTCTCCATGGCCCACGGGATGTGTCCTGCCTGTGCCGTCTCCCACGTCTGCTTTGCTCCCTCCGCACCAGCCTGCTGGCTGTTTCCCAAACCAACAAGCCTGCTTTCCTCTGCAGGGCCTTTGCACATGCTGTGCCCTCTACCTGGGAGCCTTCTGCGGCCTCCCTGCCATCCCTCAGGCCTCATCGCTCCCTCTAGTTATTGGTTTGTGTGTTTCCCATTCACTGTCTCTCTCCCCACTAGAACGTGAGCTCACGAGGCCCACACATTGTTTCACGGCCAGAATCCCAAGAACCTGGGACACTGCTTGGCCCATAATGGGTGTTCGCCAGTCTTTGTGGACTGCCCGCAGTTTGATGGCCCCATCTCCTTCCCTCCCCATCCAGAGAAACAGCTGGAGGTCCTGCAGGACATCGCAGATGTGACGGTGAAGGCCTCAGAACAGGCCATGTTCAAGTGTGAGGTGTCCGATGAGAAGGTCACGGGCAAGTGGTACAAGAATGGGGTCGAGGTGCGGCCCAGCAAGAGGATCACCATGTCCCACATCGGGAGGTGCGGAGTGGACTGCGGACATGGTCTGCAGACTTTGTGGTTTAAAAGAACAAGGGTTTAGGGAATTCCCTGGCCGTCCAGTGGTTAGGACTCTGTCCTCGCTGCCATGGCCTGGGTTCAATCCCTGGTCGGGGAACTAAGGTCCCACAAACCATGCAGGACTGCGAAAAAACAAAACAAACGACAACAATAAAACACAAGGGTTTATTTCATTGTGAGTCTCAGGGTTGGTGGGAGGCTGGCTGATCTCGGATGGCCGTCTTCCTGGGCTCCCTCAGGCCCTCACCTGGGTCAACTGGGCTGCCTCCACTCTGGTTCGTGGGACGTCTCATTCCCCAGGAGGCTGGTCCTGACATATTCACATGGCCAACACAGGTGTCCCGAGAGAGAGCAGAAGCGAAGAGGGCCTCTGAGGGCTGGGCTGGGCGCTGTCCCAGTGTCACTTCCACTATATCCTATGGGGCAAAGGAGGTCACAGGCGGCAAGGTCTCCTTGCAAGGGTCACGGCTACAGGACAGGAAACTTGTGACTATATTTGCAAACAGTCAATTTTGGCGGGGAGGCCGTCTAGCTAGGGAAACGGGGCTGGAATTCAAAGCGTAGCACGTGGACACCTGAGATAAACACCTGGTAATCTGCAGAATGCCGAGAACCACTGTGATGCCAGCAGAACGTCGTGCCCCTGTGGATTTCCTGATCATAGCTCTTGGCAGACGTAGACTTTTTCTGGGTTCTGTGTGAGGCCCCTGCCTGCTGATGGTGTCAGTAATGCTGAGAACTAATCTTAATGCTTTACAGCGCACTTACCAGGTGCCAGGGAGTCTTCTAAATGCCTTACAACAACCCCCTTGTAGATTGTGAACATTACCTCTATTTTATAGATGAAGAAACGGAGGCACAGAGAGGTTAAGTGACTTGCCCGAGGTCACACAGCTAGTAAGGGGCAGAGCGAGATTTGGGTCCAGGCACTAGCATTGCATTGAGCGCGGGGATCGCATGGCGGCGCGTGTGTCTCCGCGGTGGTCCCCAGGGCGACCTGGCCTGACCTTTGCCCTGCACCCCCCCACTCCCCTTAGGTTCCACAGATTGACGATTGACGATGTTCGCCCTGAGGATGAGGGAGACTACACGTTTGTGCCCGACGGCTATGCCCTGTCCCTCTCGGCCACACTCAACTTCCTGGGTGAGGATACCTCCTTGTCTCCCCCTGGCTGCCAGTGCACCCGCCCTCCCAGACCCCAACCCCCTTCAGGATTAAGTTTCCCTAACTGTACGCTGGGGGTGACAGCAGGTGCTTGTGGGAGGAGGGACAGTCATGGGCCTGAGTCCACCTCCCAACCCCTCAGGTCCCAGGGTGATGGGGTGTGAGGGGGGGGGGATCAGGGGCCCCATAGACCTAACCATCAGTCTTCTTTGTCCTCCAGAAATCACGGTGGAGTACGTCCCCAAGCAAGGTAGGGACCAGAGGCTGCTGTGGTCCTTAGGCTGGGGGCCTGGACTCCTGGCTCTGAGGGCAGAGGGGCAGGGGACCTGGACCGCTGGTTCTCTGTGGCTGTTGGAAGCCAGCTTCTCAGGAGATCCTCTGGAGGGGATGGGGAGGGCCCAGCTGCCCACTCCCAAGTTCCCCAGAATCTCTCCTCTGCCACCAGAGCCACCAAAGATCCACCTGGACTTCTCGGGCAAGACCTCGGAAAACACAATTGTGGTCGTGGCTGGAAACAAGCTGAGGCTGGACGTGTCCATCACAGGGGAGCCCCCTCCTGTCGCCACCTGGATGAAGGAGGATGAGGTAGGTGGAGCTTCCCCTGTGCCCTGACTTCGCCCTCTCAGCTCTGCTGGGTGACTTTAGGCAAGCTGGTTTCCCTCTCTGAGCTTCAGTTTCATTGTCTGTAAAATGAGGAATCTGATTCCTTCTTCAGAGGCTTGTTTTGAAGATTGGAGATTGTTTGTTCACCACGTGGTTCTGGCCTAGCACGTGATGAGTGCTCCAACCATTCATCCAGCCACCCATCCATCCACCCGTGAACCCATTCATCAGTCAATCAGTCCTGCCATCCATTAGTTCATCCATCTAACCATCTTTCCATTCATCAGTTCATTGATTGATTAATGAATTCATCCAGTAATTAATCCATTTATCCATGAATCAATCCACTTATCCATCCATCCATCCAACAAATATTTTCATCTTGTATGTTCCAGGCCCTGAAACAGTTCAATTTTTCTTCTCTCCTCTGGGCTTCCGTTTCCTCTTCTGTAAAACGGATAGACTTGACTCAGTCTTCATTCATTCCTTCACTCAGCAAACACCCCCTGATGTTTCCTGTATGTCAGGCTCTTGCATAGGCATTGAGGATACAACCATGAGTCAGATGCAGCCCCTGCCTTCCTGGAGCCTTCACTTTTGGAGAGAGGCAGACACGTGCCCAAACAGTCACAGTTCAGGGTGATCAGGGCTGAGAGAAAGGGAGGTACCAGAAGCTATGAGGATTCTGTCATAGCAGTCAGAGTGGGCTGTCACTTTCAGCTGAGGGCATCCAGGAGTGCTTTCCAGAAGAGGCGACTTCTGGGTGGGTTCTAAAGGATGGGTAACGGTATAGCAGATAGAGAAGTGGGTCAGGGCATTGCATGCCCTGGGGATCAGCTTTGCAAACTCTTGGGGATGAGACAGCCTGGCGTTTTTAATGAAGGGTGGTGTTTGGAAGGCAAGGAGGGCAGTGGCAGGGGGGTGATGAGGCTGGGGGCAGACCCAGCAGGTCCACTTGTGCTGGGTCCACAGCCTGTGTATTGTGTGGTCACGGGGAGCCATTGGAGACTGTTGGGCAGGGGAGGGGTGGAGGCCGGTCTGGGTTTTGAGAGAGGTAGAAAAAGGCCACCTGGTGGGCTGTGTTCAGGTGTTCTCAAGCACTGAGGGCAGGGTCCACATCGAGAAGCAGAAAGACACCAGCAGCTTCGTGATCGAGAGCACGGACCGAGCTGACGAGGGCCGCTACACCATCAAGGTCACCAACCCCGTCGGCGAGGACGTGGCCACCATCTTCCTGCGGGTTGTGGGTGAGCAGAGGGGAGCAAGGGGGCTGAGCCAGGGGGGGTTCCCCGAGGCCATGAGGTGTCCTCTGACCATCCTGCCTGCCCTTCCCCAGATGTCCCAGATCCCCCGGAGGCTGTGCGTGTCACATCGGTTGGAGAAGACTGGGCCACCCTAGTCTGGGAGCCACCCAAGTATGACGGGGGACAGATGGTCACCGGTGAGTGCCCGTGTGCCACAGTGCCCATGACCTCTGATGACCTCCCCGTCCCCTGACTTCTCCTTGACCTCCAAGAGTCCCTATAGCATCCTCAGTGACCACCCTCGGAAACTCGGTTTTCCATCTTCAATAGCTCACGATCCCTTTTGCCTTCCCTATCATTCTTTACTCCCCAGCAACCTGGGAACCCTCACTTTGGCTAACAGCCTAGGATTTTCTGTGACTCCCTCCTTACGCCCTGATTCATGACCTCCTTACGCCCTGATTCATGACCTGTGGCCCTTCTTGATCCCTGGCCCCATGACGGGTAACCTCTGACTGCTCTGTGACCCTGAGATCAACTCAACAGTCACGGCCTCAGACCTCTCAGAGTCATGTGACCTTTTGATGTGCCTTTGACTGCCCCAACTGACCTGGGACCCCAGGCCTCCCCATGACTTCCCACTTCTCTCTGCTTGCGGGGGCCTCCAGGGTACCTCCTGGAGCGGAAGAAGAAGGGCTCTCAGCACTGGATGAAGCTGAACTTCGAGGTCTTCACGGAGACCACCTATGAGTCCACCAATATGATCGAGGGCATCCTCTACGAGATGCGGGTCTTTGCTGTCAACGCCATTGGGGTCTCCCAGCCCAGCAGCAAAACCAAGCCCTTCATGCCTATTGGTGATGCCCCTCTGCACCCTCACCGAGCCCCCGTCCACCTCTGACCCATGGCCTGCCCGTCACTGATCTCTAACCCTACACCCTGGCCTTGACTCCCTTGACTCTGCTGACGTCTGTCCCCTCTCATCGAACAACTCAAGACATTGACCCCCCAGCCCCACGCATCCTCCTGACCTCTTCCTGACCCAGTACAACAGCCACCGACCTCTATGATCCTAGACTCCATGCTGTCCCCCGAATATGGCATTGACCTCTGACCTACCACACAGACACCTATCCCTGCCCTTGGAGACCTCACGATTCCTTGAGATCTTGTTTTAATGACCCGTGATGCCACATCCTTGCTCCCTGACCTTTGGCCCACCATATTGATCCCTTTCCTGACCAGTGACTCCAGCTCTGACCCCTGAGCCCTCATTTACCCCACCTCCCCTTTCCCTGGATCCTTACAGCACCCACAAGTGAACCCCAGCACCTGACAGTGGAGGATGTGACGGACACCACCACCACCCTCAAGTGGCGGCCCCCAGATAGGATTGGGGCAGGTGGCATCGATGGGTACCTGGTGGAGTACTGCGTGGAAGGCTGTGAGTTACCCCGTCTGGCCTGGTGGGGGGCGGTGGCACACGCACAGTCCCAGAGGCCTGCAAATAGGGCAGTGCAGGGACAGATCTCTGAGAGCGAACGGCCCTTCTGTCTGTGCCTGCCTGAATCCCTGGGATGGGATGGGTCAAGCCAGGCCTCCAGTGACCGGCTTGTCCTCTCTCCCTCCCCCCTCCCTCCCCTACACCCATCCTCCACATAGTGATACCTTTTCATCCATCCATCCAAGTATTTATCTACTACCTATGTTGCTCCTCCTGTGTTCTATCTAGTCATCCATTCATCTACCCATCCAACCAATCTTTCATCCATCCATCCATCCATCCTTCCATCCATGTATCCTTCCTTCCTTCTTTTCCTTCCTTCTTTCCCCCTATTTCTCCCTCCCTCCCTCCCTCTTCCCTTCTTTTTCTCCAGTTGCCCACCCAGTCATCCATCCAACCATCTCTCTGTCCATCTGAAAATTGTTTGGATCATTCAAGTATCCATCCATCCAGTAACATTGTTTTCATCCATGTATCTATCGCTTCACCACTATGTTTCTTCTCTCCCTCTCTTCTTTCCATCCATCCGTTTGCCTATATGACCATCCAACCGTCTAATTATGCATTGTTTCTCCATCTGTCTGTCCATCCACCTATCCATATTTCCACACATCCCACTCTCAATCCTCCACGGAACAAACATGTATTGAGCACTGACTCCACGCCAGGCCCAGTGCCTCGGCTCTGGGGATATCTCAGACATGGTTCTCTCACTGGGGAGACAGACAAGATCATTTTGACACTGTATCCCAGGCTTTAAGTCAGACAATTGTGGGTTCCAATCCTGTCCCTTCACCTTGTAACTGTGTGACCTTGGGCAAACCTCTAAGCCTCAGTTTCCTCATCTAAAAATGGCGAAAGCAGTTTCCATTTTGACGGGATACAGTGATGACAGGATTTGGGGATGCATGTAAATGATGGAAGGGTGGCCTCTGGTCAATTTCTTCCTTTTCTCTTCCCAGCACTCTTTACCCAGTTCCTACCCTTGCCCACCCCTCCCCAATCTGTCTTTCAGAACCTATTGTACTTTTGTTAGCGTTCACCCTGTTGATTGTTGGTCTGACTCACACTGGTTCACCAACCCATGGCAATAGAACCAGGATGGAAAAGCACCCATTTGCAAGCAGGAAATCCGAGGAGCTGTCTGTAACTACCACCCCCAACCCCTTACCCTCTCTGAGCCTCAGTTTCCTCATCTCTAAAATGGGGATAACAGAATGGAGGCAGGAATTAATGCGCTAACATTAATTAGCTCCAACCTGGTAATAAGAAATGCTCAAGAAATGTCAGTTGCAGCTATTCACTGTGGTGGGGCCCTAGGCGCTGAAAGGACACAAACGGAGGGGCCCCTAGGAAGGTCTTGAAGGAAGATCCCCAGCCTCGCTCCTCTCTCCTAGCTGACGAGTGGATCCCTGCTAACACGGAACTGGTGGAGCGCTGTGGCTTCACTGTCAAGGACCTCCCCACGGGAGCCAGAATCACCTTCCGCGTCGTTGGGGTCAACATCGCGGGGCGCAGCCAGCCGGCCACCCTGGCCCAGCCGGTCACCATCCAGGAGATTGTGGGTGAGGACTCCTGACCCCCGACTCTGCTCTCCTAAAGACCAAGTCGGTGTCATCATTAGGGCCTCCCCCGACAGCCTCATCGCCCCTGGTCTGTCTGTCCCTCCGTCGAGTCCCTCTGCCTGGCGCTGAGCCCCTCCCTGGGTTTGTGCCCTCAGAGCAACCCAAGATCCGACTGCCCCGGCACCTCCGCCAGACTTACATCCGCAAAGTGGGGGAGCATATTAACCTCGTCATTCCCTTCCAGGTGCGTCGAGCTGGGGTCGGGGTGGGGCAGGGGTGAGGGGTCAGCTTCTGCGGGTGAGACCCGGGCTAACCTCGCCGCCCGCCCCGCCTTCCCGCACAGGGAAAGCCGAGGCCACAGGTGACGTGGACGAAGGGCGGGGCGCCCATAGACACCTCCCACGTGCTCGTGCACACCAGCGACTTAGACACAGTGTTCTTCGTGCGCGAGGCTGCCCGCTCAGACTCCGGGGAGTACGAGCTCAGCGTGCAGATCGAGAACATGAAGGACACGGCCACCATCCACATTCGGGTCGTGGGTGCGCGGCCCGCAGGCGGCGGCGATGAGGGGGGAGGGGAGGAGATGGGCGGGGATGAGGAGGACCCAGGACAGGGGAAAGTGGAGAGACTGGGACCCGGGAGGGTGTGAGGTGGCAGTGGGTCAGAAGGGGAGGAAATGGGAGTGGGAAAAAGCCTAAGAGAGATCAGAGGGTGTGGGGATGGACAGGGGAGAGGAGGTGAGGCACTGGACGTTTAGGGATGCTTGGGATGACATAACACGCGCCCCATCTTCCAGAAAAGGCAGGGCCACCGGAGAACGTGATGGTGAAGGAGGTGTGGGGCACCAACGCGCTGGTGGAGTGGAAGCCCCCCAAGGATGACGGCAACAGTGAGATCACCGGGTATTTCGTCCAGAAGGCCGACAAGAAAACCATGGTGAGAGACTAGAGGGGCCCGGGGTGGAGTGGACTTGGGGGGGAGAAAAGCTGGCCAGATTGTCAGAGCAGGTGTGTTGTTCCCATTTCCCAGCTGGGGAAACTGAGGCACCGGGAAATTTGGGAGAATGGGCCGGGACAGGGAGGAAAGCCTTTGGGCTGAGATTTGGTGCATAACAGATTTTCTTTTTCTTTTTTTTGGTGGTGCCGGGCGGCTTGAGGGATCTCATTTCCCGGACCAGGGATTGAACCCGGGCCCAGTAGTGAAAGCCTGGAATCCTAATCCCTAGGCCACCAGGGAACTCTTTAATAGGTTTTCTTTTTCTTTCTTTTGTATTGAGGTAAAATTCCTCTAGCCAAATTTCGCATTAACCGTTTTCAAGTGGCATTTCACACCTTCCCAATGTTGTGCAGCCACCCCGTCTCTTTAGTTCCAAGACATTTTCATCGCCTCAAAAGGAAACCCCTTGTCCGTGGAGCAGCCACTGCCCTTTCCCTCCCACCCAGTCCCTGGCAACCCCCCATCTGCTTCCTGTCCCCGTGGACCGGCCCCTCCTGGACATTTCTTATGGACACAGTCACACACTCTGTGGCCCTTTTGTGTCTGGTTCGTTTCACTCAGTACTGTGTTTTCCAGGTTCATCCCCATTGTAGCAGGTATCCGTGCTTCGGTCCTTCTCATGGCTGAGGCCTGTTTTTTGTTTTTTTTTTTTGCGGTACGCGGGCCTCTCACTGTTGCGGCCTCTCCCGTCGCGGAGCACAGGCTCCGGACGCGCAGGCTCAGCGGCCATGGCTCACGGGCCCAGCCGCTCCGCGGCATGTGGGATCTTCCCGGACCGGGGCAGGAACCGCGTCCCTTGCATCGGCAGGCGGACTCTCAACCACTGCGCCACCAGGGAAGCCCCTAGGCCCTGTTTTTTTGTTTGATTTTTGTTTTTGGCTGTGCAGTGTGGCTTGCAGGATCTTAGTTCCCCTACCAGGGATCGAACCTGTGCCCCCTGCAGTGGAAGCGTGGGGTCCTAACCACTGGACCGCCAGGGAATTCCCCTACCAGTCCCTGGTTTGAATGGACCATGTTTTGCTTGTCCATTCATCCACTGATGGGCACCTGGGTTGTTCCCACCTTCCGGCCATTGTGAACAGAGCTGCTGGGGAACGGTGGGTTTTATGAGCGAGGCGCCCGCTTGGGTCCGTGTCCCTGACTCTCCCGGCCCCTCCCCGTCCCCCATGCCGTAGGAGTGGTTCAATGTCTACGAACACAACCGGCAAACCTCCTGCACCGTATCAGACCTCATCATGGGCAACGAATACTATTTCCGAGTTTACAGCGAGAACATCTGTGGGCTCAGTGACTCGCCTGGCGTCTCCAAGAACACGGCCTGCATCCTCAAGACAGGTATGGCTACTGCCACCGTTCCGAGGGGGCCAGTCCCAGTTCCCCCTCTCTCTCTGTTTTTTTTTTTTTTTAAATTGGAGTGTAGTTGATTTACAATGTTGTGTTAGTTTCAGGTGTACAGCAAAGTGATTCAGTTATACATATACATATATCCGTTCTTTTTCAGAGTCTTTTCCCATATAGGTTATTACAGAATAGTGAGTAGCGCCCCCTGTGCTCTACAGTAGGTCCTTGTTGGTTATCTATTTTCGATATAGTCTCCCTCCCTGCACTCAGAGTTGATGGCAGCTGGTGCTGGAGGAGAAGTGGTCCGGGGACAGTGAAGACCAGTCCCCTTACAGGTGTATCACCCCTCCCCCAGGTGTCACCTTCAAACTGCCTGAGTACAAGGAGCATGACTTCCGAACGCCTCCCAAGTTCCTGACGCCTCTACCTGACCGGGTGGTCGTGGCTGGTTACGCTGCAGCTCTCAACTGCGCCGTCAGAGGCTACCCGAAGGTGCCGCGTGTGTGTGTGTGTGTGTGTGTGTGTACGCAGGTAGTGTGTGTAATGTGTAACCCTGTAGGGAATTCATCATCGAGGTGAAGCCCCATTGCCTGCCCGCCACACGGGCTCTTCCTCCCTGAGTTCTCTCTCTGCTCCTGGGATTTGCTCACTTTTAACCCACTTCCTGTCTCTCTGCTCTAACCAGAGCCCAAGTCTCAGCTCACTACACTGACTTCCCTCAAAAACAGAAACCTTTGGGGCGGAGGGGGTCTAAACCTGCAAGGCTCCTTGGCGTCTTCCTGCCCTGTCTGGTTTCCAGACTACTGTCTGGGAATGTGGACACTTGCAACCTTGAACTCCAAGGACCCACCTAGACCAGCGGCTGGCAAACTACTGCCCTCGGGCCAAATCCGCCTGCCACCGGTTTCTCTGAGATATTTTTTTTTTTGGCTGTGCCACGTGGCTTGTGGGATCTTAGTTCCCCGACCAGGGATTGAACCCGGGCCCTGGCAGTGAAAGCGCCGAGTCCAAACCACTGGACCGCCAGGGGATAAATAATTTTTAAAACGGTTTTTTCTTTTTCTGTTTTGTTATCTTGCTTTCACGTTAATGGTTTGTGTGTGGTCCATGACCCAGAGACCACAGAGCCCCAAAAGCCTAAAATATTGACTGCCTGGCCCTTTTGACACATTTTGCCAACTTTTAGCGTCAGCTGCTGTAGGCATCCCGTGGATTCTTTCCTTCACCTCCGCCATCACCGCTGTCTACTGCTTTATTCACTAACTCCATCCATTCATTCATTCCGCTCATTTCCCTACCAATCCATTCATTTATTCAGCTCATTCATTTGCTTCATTTATTTACATCATTCATTCATTCATTCAATACACGTTTTCAGAGGCTTTCTATGTGCTGGTGATTTGAACAAGGAGTTCCCGTATGTTGGGGGAGACCGCCATGCATCCGAAGTCACACAAATGACTATAAAATTATAAAGGGTGGCGAGTGTGCTAGGGAAATGCAGGCAGTTGTGAGAGTGTAAAGTGGGGCATTCCTGTTCCAGTCTAGGACCCGGGAAGTGACAGGGGAACTGAGACCTGAAAGATAGGCAGGCACTGGTTAGGTGAAAAGAGGAGGGGAGAGCAGTATTGGAAGAGGCAAGAGCCAGTGCCAAGGTCCTGAGGTGGGAGCCTGTCTGGTCTGTTTGAGGGACAGTGAGGCAGCCCGTGTGGGCGGAGCAGATGGAAGGAAGGGGTGGGAAGTGAGGGCAGAGGAGTAATGGGGCCAAATCATGCAGGGCCCTATGGGCCACCACAAGGGGTGGGCTCTTCCTCTTACTGAAGAGGAGACTGAGGGTCAGAGAGGAGAAGTGACTCGTCCAAGGTCAGCCAGTCAAAATTAGGAGGTGGCACAGCCAGAAGGAGAACCCAAATCTGCCTCCCAAGGCCCACTTTGCTATCTCCCAGGGTACCCTCTGTCACATGGCTTCCTCTCCACTCTCCTCAACAGCCCAAGGTGGTCTGGATGAAGAACAAGATGGAAATCAGCGGAGATCCCAGGTTCCTGATGAACAACTACCTGGGGGTCCTGACGCTGAACATCCGCCGCCCGTCCTCCTTCGACTCGGGGACTTACTCGTGTCTGGCCGTCAACGAGCTGGGGGAGGCCCTGGCCGAGTGCAAGCTGGAAGTCCGAAGTGAGCGTGGGGCGGCCCCCAGCGCACCCCTGCCGACCCTCATCCACTCCCTTTACCAAGCTAACGGGAGGCCGGTGCTGAGCAGGGCTGAGACCAGAGCCTAGGCAGACCCGGGCCCCCTGGGAGTATGACTGGGAAGTCAATTCAGACCCCAGCAGGATGTTTCAGGGTGACACGTGGGGGAGGGAAGGCAGCACAGGGTATGGTAGGGGTGGGGGAGGGAGAGTGCCTGACCCGGCCTGGGCAGGAGTCTGAGGTTTTCCAAAGGAGCTGAGGGACAAATAAGAGGTGAATGAGGGCGAGAAGAACTTAGCAAATGATCGCTAAGGCTTCCAGTGTGCCTGGGGAGGTGTGTGGCACAGCACTGAAAGCAACATGGGTAGTGGCAGAGGACGGGGGGCTGTGGGAGCCCCGAAAAATGAGCCCCCTCCAAAGCCTGTCCCTGTCCCCCTCCTGTCCCCACCTCTCTGCCCCACAGCCCCAGCCTCATCTGTCCTCCTTCCTGAATCCTGCGCCAGCCTCCTCTCGGGCCTCAGGGCCTCCAGTCTCTCTCTCCGGTTCCACCTCCGGGCCCTAGAGGGTGCCTGGCCCATATCCACAGTTGACCTGCTCACAGGGCTCCCCAGCAGCCCCGGAACCCTTCATCCTGGGGTCATGGTCCTGCCTCTGCCACCCCCAGCCCCTCTCCAGCCTCAAGCGCCCCCATTTTCCAGCCACACCGAGCAGTTGGCGGTTGGACAAACTGGTTGTGCCTTCTCCTGCTCCTGGGGCTTTGCACGTGCTTTTCCCTCTACCCAGAATGCTCTTCCTTGCATCCTCCGCCTTGGGCTTCAGTCCAGCAAGCATCCACCAGCCGAGACTCGTGGGGAGGCCGCTAAGCAAGTCCCTCAGAGGCGACTGACGTTCATAGGGGCTTCCAGAGTCCCTCCCTGGCTCTGACGACAGCCCAGTAGACAGAAGGGGCTGCAGACCCTTAGCAAAGCGTCCAGAGGGATCACTCCAAGCACCTCCTGCCTGTCATTCCAAGGCGCTGATCTGCCAGGCCGACCTACTGATAATTCCTAGGGTTCTGCCGTCCCCCTTATCAACTGTTGAATCCGTTCAGAAATATCCCTACTTCAGGATTCCAGTGACGGCTGGTCTCCAGCAGCTGCTCTGTAATCAGAACGTCCCAGTTTGGGGTTCAAAACTACAGGAATCAGGGCTCTATGGAGTTGGGTTGACCAGGTGCCGAGCTAGGTGATGAAGGGAAAACCTGCTCCCCGTGCTGGTCAAGTGAATCCAGCGGGCACAGGCCCGGGGGCAGGGGCGGGTGGTGGTGGGACAAGCATTTTTACCACCCTTTTCTGTTTTCCCCCCACAGTGCCGCAGTGAAGCGCTCTCTCCCACCTGCCAAGATAATTGGCTGCTGAGTCCTAACCCAGACCTCCCCCAACACGTTTCCCTTTCCCGAGTTATCAATGAGAAGATCATAGTCTTGTCTTGGACTCCCATATGTCTGTCCTTCTTGAGTCTGTAGCTCCGCCTTCCTCCTCCTGTAGGGCTTAGTCACCTGGGGCTGGGCGATGGGGACAGCCAGGTTGGAATGGCAACCACGATGAGGCGGCCCTGATGAAACAGACCGCATTGAGGCCGCCATCTTGGAACAGCCACTTTAGCGAGGCTACCGCGTTGCCATGGCAACTACAAAATCACAGGGGGGCCTGACACCCTGTGGAGGCAGCCCTGTTAGCCGAGCTACTGGGAGTGGGGAGGAGGTGGGCTGGCTGCAGGGGCCAGATGCAGTGGGCAAAGAAGAACCAAAGGCCAGACTGGGGAGGGCTACTCTAGTGAGGTAGCCATGATGGAGTGGTGAGCGCTGGGCCTCTGTAGCGGCCCGAGGAGCCAGACACCATGAACAGAAGACCGCGCTGGGGCAGTCATACTGGAAGAGCTGTTTCTGCCATGTTGAATCGGTGACGATGGGGAAACTGCTCGTGACCGGGTTGTTGGTTCTTAAGTGGCCGATCCTTATTAACTTTAATAATTCATCTGTCCGGCCCCGAGATAGGGTACACTTTGATCTCTGGTCTTTTAGTGACCTCAAAATAATGTTGGAGGAATCAGAGTCCCCAGAGTTCCGAGGTCTGTGGGTCCAGGCTGGCTTCCATGGCTTGAAGCTGGGTAGAAGAGTCTGTCTCGGAGGCCCTGACTGATTAGAAGCTGGGTAGAAGAGTCTGTCTCGGAAGAGTCTGTCTGGCTTGAAGAGTCTGTCTCGGAGGCCCTGACTGCGGACGCACCTGCCGTTTGGGGGTGTGAGTGGGCACTCTGTACTTCCTGGGAAGGCCTGGGGAGCAGGGTGTCTTGAGAGGAAGAGGCCCCATACGTTCCAGTGTCCCCACCTTCAAGGACTGGGGCATTTCCCCTCCCCAGGCCTTACACGGAACTGGCATCTTGTCTGGCTGACCCCACTCCTTCAGGGCCTGGGCACTCCCTCCCCAGGTCCCACCATGCTAGGTCAAGGGGAGCGAGGCTGGGGTGGGGGGATGCCCAGTTAGGAAACCATCACCACTTTTGCTGGTGCGCCAAGGTCCTGCAGACCTTGCCCCGCTTTTGAGAGCCTCCTGTCCTCTGGGTACAGATGCCACACACTGTCAGGACTTAGGAGTCTGGGCTCCTGGTCACCTCCACTCTCAGACACAGGCATCCAGGTCCCAGGCCCTCCTCCCTCAGACCCAGGATCCAGGCCCCCAGCCCCTCCCGCTTCAGACCCGGGAGTCCCCGCCCCCAATCCCTCCTCCCTCAGACCCAGGAGTCCCGCCCCCAGCCCCGCCCATGCCCCTCTCCCCGCTCCTTGCAGCCCCGCCCTGCTCCGCTCACCTCGTCCGCTCACTTCCTCCTACTCGGATCCTCGTCCTTGTCGTCCTCCTGCGCCAAGCACTCCTGCGTGAAGGGTACGGCTCCCTGGGCCGAATGGAAGCGCAGGCGGTAGAGCAGCCGCACCCACTGGCCGAACTTGCGGTCGCGGCTCTCCGGCGGGGCTCGCAACTGCAGGTAGAAGGCGCGGCCGGTGCGGAACTTGACCTTCAGTTGCCAGCGGCTTTCGTCGTGTACGAAGAGCTGGACGAACTGCAAGGGGAACAGCCTGGCGGGCGGAAGGGGCGGCCTCAGCGTCTTACCCTCCCCGGCTTCGCAGCGCCCACCCCAGCGCCCCTCTCCCTGCCCGGAAGGATCCTTTTCCACTTTCTCTGCCTCTTGCATTTTATCCATCCCCAATTTTCTTCCATACACAGAGCCCATCCGTGTCTCCCGCTGGTCCTCCCTCCTAAACGCGAAACTCAGATTGCTGCTTACTTGAAATTTCCATTTGTATGTTGGATCGACATCGGACACATAAAATGTCCAACAGCCAAATTCCTGATCTTCCGCCAACCCCAAAGCTGCACCTCTTCGTCTTCCCCATCTTAACATCCTCCCACTTGCTCAGTCAGAAACCGCGGGAGGCGACTTTTTCCCATTCTCAGCCAATCCTACCAAATCCTGATGGCTCCACCGTTAAACCGTAGTCACAGTTCGACGATTTCCAAGTCCCTCCACCAGCCGCCCCCGACCCGCGCCGTCCAGCCACCGTAATTTCCCGCCTTCACCCCAGTCTGTTCCCACGCGGCCGCCAGAGGGCGCCAATCAACACCCGCGTTAGCTCAAATCCCTCCCGGGGCTCAGAGTAAAGGCAGAGTCCTCGCCTTGACTACAAGGCCCTGAGGGATCTGCCCGCTTTGTTCCCTCTCTGCCCCCCCACCCCCACCCACTCTCCTCGCTTACTCGGCTCCAGCCATACTGTTCTCACTGTCCCATAAACACCTGCTAGGCTTGGTCCTACCTCAGGACCTTTGCACAGGCCGTTCCCTCTGTCATCCTCCAGCCATCCCCATAGCTTGGCCCCTTCCTCTCTTAGAGAAGATCTGTTTACAACCTCCAGCCTATATACAACTACATTCGCCCTTGCAGACCTCCCCATGCCCACCCCCATGCCCCATCTGTCTCCACAGACCTCACCCACTGGACAAATTGACATCTATTCTGTCTGCTTTCCTAGTAGAAAGTGAGCTTGAGGGCAGAGATTTTTGGTCCAATTTTGTTCAGTGCTGCTTCCGTAGTACCCAGAGCTGACCCATGGTCAGTGCTGAGTGAATGCTTGTGGAGTATCTGAATAAAGGAATTGCTCAGGCCCCCAGCCTGATTCAAGGTCCAACAAGGCAGTGGAGGAAACAATCCAGACAGGATGGGTAACTTGACCCAGATCACACAGCAGGGACTTGAAGCCAAGTCTTACCTATGTTCTTAACAACACTGGGTAGCCACATACGACTCCCCTCAGGCCCTGTAAGATTACCTCTAGAAACTGGTCTTATAGACACCCTCGCAGCTGAGCACATGGATGTCCCCTGCCTGCCACACTGGTTGTCACCCCAAGGCACAGGGCACATCAGAGTCCCTCAGTAGGCAACTCGATCTATTAGTATGTTCCCCAAATGGAAGAATAACAGCTGACATTTCCAGAGCGCATACTCTGTGCCAGGTGCTGTTCCAAGAGATTTACAGACATTTACTTAGTTTATCCCCTGACAGCCCTGGAAGGTGGGCTCTCCTCTTATCCTCATGTGGCCGATGAGGAAACTGAGGCCCAGATGGGTAGGAAACTTGGCCAAAGACAGTGAAGAAGAGGTGAAGCCAGGATTTGAAACCAGGCCGTCTGAAGGCAGCCATTCGTTGAAGGACATTCCCTATTACATCATCACAGCAAGAGGCTGGATGCAAGCTAGGTGTCCATGGGGACGGAGTTTGTTGAATTGTGTGTGTCCAAAAATGGATCTGTGTGCACTGGCACAGAATCACTAAGGGCTGGAAGCTGGTTAGAAGTGAGGGGCTGGGGGATGTGTTGAGGCTGAGTTGGCAGAGCAAGCTCAATGATTTTACTTCGATGGTATGTTTTCTCTGGGGCTGGGAGGGGAGAGTGCTGAAGGAGATGATGAGGGTCAAAACCCCCCTCTCAGCACTATCTTTAGCATCCTTCCAACTGCAGGTTGTGACTCATATGGTGGGATACAATTAGCACTGAAAAGAAAAGGAAGATGGTAGAGAATGTCCCAGTACAAGGTTCCGGCATCAGAATACTGCTTTGTGAAATGTTTTAAACTTATTCGGGGGGGATAAATAAAGGCTGTAAGTGGCATCAAGTTTGTTCAGGTCAGAAGCAGATTCTACCACCAAATGAGTTACATCCAAAATTGCAGACAGGGGCTTCCCTGGTGGCGCAGTGGTTGAGTCTGCCTGCCGATGCAGGGGACACGGGTTCGTGCCCTGGTCCGGGAAGATCCCACATGCCGCGGAGCGGCTGGGCCCGTGAGCCATGGCCGCTGGGCCTGCGCATCCGGAGCCTGTGCTCCGCAATGGGAGAGGCCACCACAGTGAGAGGCCCGCGTACCGCAAAACAAAACAAAACAAAATTGCAGACAAAGGATTGTGTGCATGCGTGTGTGTGTGTGTGTGTGTGTGACAATGTGACTCCATCCTTCCTTCCTTCCTTCCCGCCCTTCCCCCGTCCCCCTTTCTTTCATTATCTGTGAGATGTAGCCAAAAAGTGAAAGCCACCAGCAGAATGTTTCTGGAAATATACTCTATGCCTGTAAATGTCTTGGTATTTGCAGCTGGAGTTGGAGACAGGAGCCTAGGATGGAAGAAAGGTGTATTTTGTGCTATGTGTGTTTTGTACCTTGGAGTGTATTTGCATTACTTTTTCAATCAAAAAAACAAAGACCTGAAGGGGCAGTGTGGAGTGTGGCCCAGGAGCTCCAGAATCACGAGGTCAGCAATCCTGAGGAGCCCAAGGTTCTGATCCCAGGCCACCCCTGACCCACTGTGGGACCCTGGGCAAGTGGCTCCCCTCTCTGGGCCTCAGTTTTTCTTATGGATGGGCCTAAGGGGCCCCACCATATGACAGTAGGAGGTCAGAGAAGAGATGATGTGCATGGTCAAGGGGACGCCTGGCATGCAGTAAGTCCTGCATAAATGGTCATTCTCCTGATTCCTGCCAGGGTGTAGCTGAAGACAGTCCCCCTCATGTCTATCTATCCCTGATTCCTGGCTCCTGTGGATGGCCCTGTCCTTGTTCTCCTGGGTGGACAGTAGCCCAGAGAAGGCTAGCAGCCATCCATGGCTCCTGGCCTTGGAGGTCGTGTGGGTGAAAGGAGGTGCTGCAGGGGGCCTAGGATGCCCAGAGCTGGGGAGAAAGGAGGTCTAGGCTGGGGTGGGGCAGTCACCCGAAGAGCTGCAGGCGTCCGTTCTCCTTGGCAGGGCCCGCCAGAAGCAACAGGTCTGGGAGTTCCAGGGCTGGACTGGAGGCTGCCACCCCCATGGTGACCTTGTTGGCAACTTCTCCTAACCGGGTCACCTGGGGCCGGGGGGTCAGAGGTTAGAAGCCAGATAGATGGGGGGTGGGATTGGGGAGGGATCAGGAATTTTGGTAGGGTTAAGGGTCAGGAACCAAGTAAGTTAACCACCAAGATGGGGATCAGAGATCCTGGGGTCAAAAGTCAAGAGTCATATGGGTATGAAGTCAGGGAAAATGGACCGAGGGAATCAAAGGCCAGGGTTCATAGGGAAGCAGGAATTTCAGGAGGTGGGCATTAGGGGGAGTGATCAGAAATAGGGCGAACAGAGGTTCCCCAAGTCAGGAGGCCGGGGCTCAGGCCTGGGCTCGGAGGGCCCTGGGGCTCCACACCTGCACGAAGTTGCTCTCAAAGATGGGTAAATCCCGCAGCTGGTCGAACTCGCCGCTCAGGAGATGGCGTTGGAGCCGTCCCGGCCGGTGCGTGGGACAGGCTGGAACCAGGGGGCGTTCTACATGGGCGGCAAAGTTCGCAGGTCTGTTCCAGGAGGCTGGGCCAAGGTCCCCAGGTCAGCCCCGCGCTGAGGGTAGAGGGTTCCCGGCTACCGGTCTCCGTATCGCAGGCTCCATCCCTCACCTCGTTCCCTCACCTGGTCCAACCCCTCCAGGCCCGGCTCCGCCTCTCACCTGCCATCCCACCTGGTCCCGCCTCACCTGCTCCACTAGGGGCCGGCTTAGGCTCGTGCCACCGTTTCATCGCAACGCCCCGCCCCTTGGGGGGAGCGGAGGGAGGAGCCCACGGAGAAAACGGGAGGGCGGGGCCCCGGGCTCTGTGACGTCACAACGCGACGGACCGGGTGTGCGTCACGGAGGAGACGTCCGCGATTGTGGCGTCATCCAAGGGGCGGTGCCCGGAAACCCGGATGCAGCGGCGCCCGCCCCGTGACGTCAGGCGCCGGTAGCGGGCGGGCGCTAGTGCGCAGACGCAAAGAGCCGGCGCAGGCGCACGGGCGACGGGATGCGGGCCGTTCCTCCCGGCGTGCTCCGCGGCGCCCGGCTCGCTCCAGCCCCTTGGCTGGTGGGACGAGTCCGAAATGGCCGCGCCCGGCGCTGGGGCGACTCGGCTGCTCCTGCTCTTGCTGATGGCGGCAGCAGCCCCCAGCCGGGCGCGGGGTAGTGGTTGCCGGTCCGGGGCCGCTTTGCGGGGGGTGAGTGCTTATTCGCTGTGCACATAGGGCGGGGTTGACGGAAATCGTGGGTCTTGGGCCTTTAGGTCGGTTAAGGTGGGAACGAAGTTGCGCAGGACCGAGAGGGAAGACGAGGTAAAAGAACCGGGGAAAGCGAGGCTGCAGTTCTGCGCATTCATGAGGCCGCACAACTGGGAGAAAGCGAGAGGATAGTTAGGAAGGCTTTAGCTCGTGAATATGCATAAGGGGGCGGGGCTCCTTATGGGATTTTGCCATCCCCTTTCTGGGCCTTAGCTAATCCCATTTTGGTTTTGTATTTTTTGCGGTACGCGGGCCTCTCACCGTTGTGGCCTCTCCCGCTGCGGAGCACAGGCTCCGGACGCGCAGGCCCAGCGGCCGTGGCTCACGGGCCCAGCCGCTCCGCGGCATGTGGGATCCTCCCGGACCGGGGCACGAACCCGTGTCTCCTGCAGCGGCAGGCGGACTCTCAACCACTGCGCCACCAGGGAAGCCCCCTAATCCCATTTTGGGATGGGACTTTGGCACCTGGGCGTTGGGTGCGGTGAAAACGAGGCTGCACCGAAAGAGAAGGTTGGGGCAAGAGCTTCCTTAACATTCGGACGCTAGGGATCCTCAGTCATGAATATGTTTGAGGAGGTGTGGCCCGGGTGGAATCTTGGCAAATCAGACGTCGGGGTGGCTAAAATTAAAGAGGCGGGGGGGGGGGGCTCTCGGAGGAGTTCCGCCTCCCGAATATGCATGAGAGGGCGGGATCTTGAGCTCGCGGATTAAAATCTGGAACGAGGTAGCGCAGGCTTGAGGACGTAGAGAGTCAGGAGAGATGTGGAGAGTTGGAGAAAAGGAAGGCATGGAATCTTGAATGTGCTTGAGAGGGGTGGAACTCGGGCGGCATCGTGGCTATTGGGGCTGTGAAGGTGAAAACGAGGTCACGTGGATATTAGCTTGGGAAGGATGCCTTTTAACTCATGAATAGTTATGATGCTAGGTGTGAAAGTGACCTGGAGATAGTTGCCTTGGAAACGAGGTTCCGCTATTTTGCAGGCTCTGGTTGTCTCTGGCCCGTCCAGATCATGAATTTTCATGAAATGGGCGGTTCCCGGTGGAATAGTGGGCAAGCGTCAGTGTTTGGATGTGGGTATGGAAATAAGGCTCCTGCCGCAGCCTGCGGGTCTGTCTGTCCTGGGGTCCGTGGGTCCTGCCGGACTGAGGGCTCTGATGGTCCTTACCTGGGGCCCTCTCTATCACCTGCAGGCGGGGGCGGAAAGTCGAGAGGGTGAGGGCTGCGGCGCCGTGGGGCTGCTGCTGGAGCACTCATTTGAGATCGGTGAGTCCAGCAACGTCCTGACCCGGACACTTACCCAGTGCCCTGTGTCAGGAACTCGGGTGCCACTCAGCGTGAGATACGCCATCCATTCACTTACAGCTTTGCACTTGGGAGTGTGTTTGCATTACACTGGGGAGGTGGGGGCGGCGGCGAACAGAAGCTCTGTCTTTGAAGACTCCCATACCTGTAAGACAAATGCCAGTTTCAGAAACGTCGGTATGGCAGTAATAACCTCAGAGCCGACTTTGACCAATTGCCCCATGCCCTTCCCTAGTGGTTAGATGTATTAACTCAAACATCTATATTAACTCAGACATCCTCAGAATAGTCACCCAAAATAGGTGTTAGGGATAACCCCATTTTCCAGAAGAGGAAACTGAGGCTCGGAGGGATACCAGACAAGGTCCTTTTACAAGTGAATGGTAGAGGTGGGACCTTCTCTAAAGCCAAGCTTAAACTGCCACATTTCAGGCATCCAGACTCCCAGAGCATAGATGTCAGTGTGGCCCAGGGGCTCATAACCCAGTCTGAGGCCCCAAGCTCTGGGGGCACCTGTTTTAAACACTGAAGCTCGGACCCTCTGCAGACCTCCCCAGTCAGACCCTGGCATCTGCCCAAGAAAGCCCGGTGGTTGGGAGCTCCCGAGCTCTGCAGCCCCTGTATTCCATAGCTGGGGAAACTGAGGCCCACTTAAGTCACGTGAGCGACTCTGGGTCACCTGGCAAGGCAGAGGCAGGGCTTCAGAGACACGTGGGGCTGTCCCCAGTTTTTAGGTGGGAAAATGGGGGCTCGGGATGGGGAAGCAACCTGGTGGCTGCGAGGGTTGACGTCCAGCCTCCCGCACAGATGATAGTGCCCACTTCCGGAAGCGGGGCTCGCTGCTCTGGAGCCAGCAAGATGGCACCTTGTCGTTGTCGCAGCGGCAGCTCAGTGAGGAGGAGCGGGGCCAGCTCCGGGTGAGGACGGGACCCCCCGCTTTGCTGGGGCTGGGGGCACGTGCCTCAGAGCACAACACGCGTACTTCGGGGCCTCTGCCTGAGCTGTTTCCTCTGCGCAGCACCCTCTCTTCCCCACGGTTTTCGTACAGTCAGCTCCTCTCGCTCTGCTAGATTTAGCCAAGGTGCTTCACACTTAGTGCAAGATTTGCTTGTGAGGAGGAAGGGATTCCCATGGCAGCATGGTTAAGCAGGAGAACGTTACCTCTCCTGTGGCCCTGCTTTGTGGCCTCCTCCAGGTCCGCCTGGGTCCTCCCTAGGGAGGTGTGGGGCTGGCAGGGGCGGCGGGGAGGTTCCAGGCAGCAAGGTAGAGGAGGGGAAGAAGGAGGGCCAGAGGGAACAGCCGGCTTTGGGGGAAAGCTCGAGAAAGCTGCCACAATCCACTTCCACTCCGTCCCTTTGACCAGTTGGAGCTGCAAGGGAAGCTGGGGACGCAGGCTTTATTCTGGGCGGCTGCGGGCCCATGGGTGCCAGCGCTGTGGGAGAGATCAGGCTGAGGCCCGCCCGGCCAGCCTTCCTGCGTGGTGCCCACGTGATTCCTGTCACAGTCGCCCACAGTGAGAACCAGCCGCTCATATAACCGGGGAGGTCGGGTGTGGGGCTGGACCCAGACCTGCGGGAAGTGTCCTCGGGACTTACTCTGTCGCTGGGCTGGCCTCTGCTCTCCTCGTGGTGGTCTCCCCCCGTGTGGGGCACCCAGTGGGAGGAGTCTTGGGCTTGGCCGGGCCAGGGAGTGGGGAATGCTGGCTGGGCGAGACTGGGGAAGGGCCTTCCTGGTTGTGGGCCCAGTGGGTGTCCAGACCGGGTGGGGGCTGGGCACTGTCCCTCTCACTGCCACCCTCCCCTCTCTGCCCTGCAGGATGTGGCAGCGCTGAATGGCCTGTACCGTGTCCGGATTCCACGGCGGCCTGGGGCCCCTGACGGCCCAGAAGCCGGTGGCTACGTCTCCTCCTTTGTCCCCGCGGTGAGTCGGTGATGAGGTCAGCCCCCATCCTTGCTTTTCCCGCCCGCTCTAGCCTGGGTTCTACCCTTTGGCCTCCACTGTTCGCGCTCCAGCATTTAAGGACCTCGCCTTGCCCTCAAGGGTCTCCCGGGCTGGAGGGGGACAATCCAGTTGGTGGGCCCTGGGGAGGCCGTTGCTTCTGCTGGAGGTTGGCAGGGGGCCATGGAGGGCTTTGAAAGCTGCTTCGGGGGCCCTGTGGGGTGGGGAAGGAGGCTTGGGGGGGTGGCTGGTGTCAGCGAGGCCTGGGCAGCAGCCCCTGCTGGCCTCCCTCCTCTCACCCCCCTCCGCTCCTCCCCCAGTGCTCCCTGGTAGAGTCGCACCTCTCGGACCAGCTGACCCTGCACGTGGACGTGGCCGGCAACGTGGTGGGGGTGTCGGTGGTGACATACCCTGGGGGCTGCCGGGGCCACGAAGTGGAGGACGTGGACCTGGAGCTGTTCAACACCTCAGTGCAGCTGCAGCCGCCGGTCCCGGCGCCAGGGTGAGTACGGGTGCGGGGCGGTGGGCAGAGCCAGCCCTGTCCCCGCTGGCCCGGCCTTCCGCTACCTCTCACTCCGGCCCTGCCCCTCCCCCCACCCTTCCAGGGTGCCGCGGGGTCTCCCGGTCCCTCATCCCCTCTCCCCCTTCTACCCCCACCCACAGGCCCGAGACAGCAGCCTTCATCGAGCGCTTGGAGATGGAGCAGGCCCAGAAGGCCAAGAACCCCCAGGAGCAGAAGTCCTTTTTCGCGAAATATGTGAGTGGGGTTCTGCCCGCCCCCGGCCCCTTCCCCAGCGGCTCCCCCCTCCCATCCTGAGCCCCCCTGCCCTGCTCCCCTCGCCCACGGCCCTCCGCTGGGCCTCCAGTGTGGAGGGCCTGCTTGGCTTCTCCGGCATGTCTATGCGCGTCCTCCTGGCCCCTGGCTTGAGCCGAGGACTGGAGCCCCGCACCCTGGCCTGCCGGCGTCGGCTTGTGGCGGTGCTCACGGGGCATCCGGTCTCAGCAAGCGGCCGGCCCGGAGCTGGGCAGTGAGGGGGACTGGGGACAGCCCCTCGGGTGCCGCGCTGGAGCACAAAAAGCACAGGCAGGGTCAGGCTTGCCTGTTGGGAGGGAGCGCACTGAGGAGGGCGTGGTCAAGGGAGGGGCGGGGTCCGACCTTGGAGGAGGCTGGGACCAAGGTCTGGGGGAGAGGATGAGGCCTGAACCAGGCTGTGAGGCTGGGGTGTGGGGGGCACATGGCAGAGACCTCGAAGGAACAGGGAGGTTTGGAAAGGAGGGAGCGGGTGGGCTCCGCCAGCCAGGCCGGGGGGGTGGGTAGGTGGAGGGGCTGTGCCGGGAGGTGCCCGGGAGGCTGGGAGCTGGCAGCTGAGGGTGAGCCTGTGCTGCTAGAGCAGCTCTTGAGGCCCAGGGCCCCGGGCGCTGGGGGCGCTGGGGCTGGAGGAGGTGGTCCCACCCCAGGCAAGGGCAGGGGACAGTGGAAGCCAGTGTGGCTGGGCCCTCGGGGCCTCGGGTGGGAGGATGCCGAGCCTGACTGCGCTGAGCGCCGTGTCCGTGGGGCCTTGGTTAGTGTGCCGGGAGCTCCTGATGTCAGGAGAGCCTAACTGCTGAGCTGCGGGGAAACTGAGGCCCAGAGAGGCCGAGAGCTCGCCCACCCCTGGCTCTGCCCTCCCTGATGGCCGTGGGACGCCACAGCCGCCACTGGCCCTGACCTGTGCCCCCCTCCCTCCTCAGTGGCACCTCATCCTGGGGGGGGCCGTGTTGCTCACAGCCCTGCGTCCTGCTGCCCCCGGGCTTGCACCGCCACCGCACGAGGCCTGAGTGAGGACCGAGCCCCCTCCCGCCTCCCCCGTCCCTGCACCCCACCAGCCCTTCCCCAACCCGTAGTGGAGTAGGGGACCTGGGCCCCCTTCCCTCACTGCCTCCCCTCACGCTGGCCCCCACCTTCCCCACCCTGGGCCGGACACTGCTTATTCTCCCCTCTCTTCTCTCTGTCTCCCTGTTTGTCCGTCTGTCCTTCTGCCATCCTGTCTGGCTCACAGTGGATGTACATCATTCCCGTGGTCCTGTTCCTCATGATGTCGGGAGCACCGGACGCCGGGGGCCAGGGCGGGGGCGGCGGCGGCGGCGGAGGCGGTGGCCGGTGAGGGGCCCAGGGTCCGTGAGTGCCCCGTCCTCTTTCCCTCAGCGGACGCCCTTCCTGCCCAGCGTGCTCGTGTCCTTGGTCATCACAGGAAGGATTTGCCGGCCCCTCCTGTCTCCCCGTCGCATGAGGGTAGGAGAGCGCCCCCTCCCCAGGAGTCCCTTCCCTCTGGGCCTTGGCGTCACTGGTGGCGGAAGGGCGGCGGGTTCTGGGTCCTGCTGCACCCTGCCCTCCCCTGTGGCCCCGCTGTAGCCCCAGAGGCTTCCCTTTGCCACAGGATAGAGCCCAAGCTCCTGGTCCAGCTCTGACCTCACTTCTGGTTCCCCCCACCCCACCCCCTGAGGCCTGCAGTTTGGGAACATGCCTAGTTCTCTCCAGCCGCTGTGCCTTTGTCGTGGTCTTCTCGCCCTGCCTGGCCAGGTTAGATGATACCCCTAACTTGTCTGACACTGGATTGGGACACCAGCCTCCTGTCTGTCTGCCCTTGAGGGCACCCTGGGGCTCGTCGCAGCCCAGAGCTGGCACAGAACAGGGGTGGGCTGGCCACGGGTGCCCCCTTTTCCATCCCTCCGTGCAGCCCTGTCCCCTGTTTTGGCCTATATCTGCCCACGACTGTTAGTGGGAGTTGAGAGTTCCTGCCATCAGGATGCCAGGCCCTCCGTAGGCTTCTGGGCTTGAAGAAGTGATGTTGAAAGTCAAAACAAACATTTAGTGGAGTCAGGGGCCAGGTGATGTAAGTAGAATCCCTTTCCTGGCCTGGGTATCTTCCCTGGGACTTTGCTGGGTCCTTGCTATCTATCTCCCTTTCTGCTTTTGTCTGTTTAAAAACATTGACAAGGCAACATATTGAAATAGGTAAACATTTTGGAAAGTTACAACTTGCAGCAACCCAGTGCAACTGTTGACTTGGCTAAGAGGCGGTCAGGATGTACCGGCACTGCTGAATTCTCCTGGTCACTGTGTGTGCTATTCAGAAACACCAAAAAATGGCCGCCGTTGTCATGGTAACAGCTGCGTCAGGCTCCACGGTGTCTGTATAGCAGTTTATTAAACTGTCCCCCAAACGTTCAACGTTCAGCTTGCCTCCTGCTTTATGTGGTTATAAATAGCGCGACATCGCGGCTCTGTCGCTGATCTGCCTGTGATGTGACTTTGAATGACTTCGCGCAGACTCGTGACTCGAAGTAGAATACCAAGGCAGATTAGAGACGTTTTGTGAACAGGGGAAACAGCCGAGGAAGGTGCGCAGTGGAGCCTTGTCTCCGTGGTCACTTGATCATTTTAGTCCATTTGTTTTCCCTCCCGGAGTGTCTGTGCGGACACCAACAAACAGGAACGTGTGCTCTTTCCCCCTCCTCGTAGCAAAGGTATCATGTTCGAGGTTGTACACTGTCCCGTGCTTGCCACTTGCCTCGTGCGCTGTATCTTCTGCAGTTCTTTCCTTGCCCAGAGAGTGGCCTCGTCCTTCATGTGCCGCCAGAAAGGGGCGTTACGCTCATTCACCCCGCTCTCCTCCAACTGACTTTCTCACGAAATGCACACGTGACCTAAGTGCACACGTGCCCGTGGAGCGTGGCAGCACTATTGGGATTTTCTGAGAACTCTTCTTGTCCTGTGCTCCATGGCAGCATTTGTGTTTTTGAATTCCTCTTGTGATTCATCTGATACTGCTGAGACCTCCGTGTGCCACCTCCGTCCTCTGATGCTCCTGGACCCTGATCCTGCTGCGCCTCTTCCCTGCAGCCCCGTGGGAGCTCAGAGCCCACCCCCTGGGGGGCCAGCCACGCCCCTCTGCACAGTGACAAGTGGCCTGAGAGCCCCAAAGCCTCCCGCTGACTCACATTGCCTTGGTATTTTTTTAAATTAATTTATTTTATTTATCTTATTTTTATTTTTGGCTGCATTGGGTCTTTGTTGCCGCGCGCAGGCTTTCTCTAGTTGCGGCGAGCGGGGGCTACTGTTCATTGCGGTGCGCGGGCTTCTCATTGTGGTGGCCTCTCTTGTTGCAGAGCATGGGCTCTAGGCGTGCGGGCTTCAGTAGTTGTGGCACACGGGCTCAGTAGTTGTGGCTCGCGGGCTCTAGATCGCAGGCTCGGTAGTTGTGGCTCACGGGCTTAGTTGCTCCGCGGCATGTGGGATCTTCCCGGACCAGGGCTTGAACCCGTGTGCCCTGCATTGGCAGGCGGATTCTTAACCACTGCACCACCAGGGAAGCCCCCATTTTGTTATTTTTTAGTGGCTCGAGGTTTGAGGTGTTTGTCAATCTGATTACATTATTTTTATTTATTATTTATTTGGCCGTGCCGGGTCTTAGTTGCACATGCGGGATGCGTAGTTGTGGCGTTCGAGCTCTTAGTTGTGGCATGGGGGATCTAGTTCCCTGACCAGGGATTGAACCCAGGCCCCCTGCATTGGGAACGTGGAGTCTTAGCCACTGGACCATGAGAGGAGTCCCACATTCTTTTTTTCTTAGACTTTTTTTGACTGCTCTCAAGCCAGCAAGGTTACCCTGTGGCATATTCTGGTCAGTGTCCGACCTCGTGCAGGCTCCCTGGGGCTCTCTTCTGATTAAACTTCGCATCTAATTCTTGCCCATCCCTGGAGAGCTTAGTCACTGTTTCTTTTTTTTTTTTTTTTTTTTTTTTTTGCGGTACGCGGGCCTCTCACTGTTGTGGCCTCTCCCGTGGAGCGCAGGCTCAGCGGCCATGGCTCACGGGCCCAGCCACTCCGCAGCATGTGGGATCTTCCCGGACCGGGGCACGGACCCGTGTCCCCTGCATCGGCAGGTGAACTCTCAACCACTGTGCCACCAGGGAAGCCCTAATTTTAGTATTTTAAAAGAATCTTTGCCACCCCCAAATTGTGCATTGTAGCAGGTAGCTTCGGGAAACAATTCTAGAGGTTTCTTTATTTAGCCCATCAGAGAGACTCCAGGTGAGGATCAAGGGCCAGTGACTGGGGCCTCTCGGGCTGTGAACATTCACCTTTGCTTGCACCCAGCTTCCATTCAGCAAGGTCACTGCAGAGGAAACAAACTCAGTTTGGCCCAGTTCCTGGAAATAGGCTCCCTAGCAAATTGTGTAAACCAAATCCCACTCTCCTTCATTTCCCAGAGCAGCGACGCGTGCATTTCCATGGCAGTGCAGGAGAGAACATGCCCGTAGCATGACTGGAAAACACCCACGAAGTCTGGAGATTTAAGTTGGCACACCAAGAAGCTTGCTGAGTATGATGTTTATGTATTGGTTAGGGGTCAAGTTTTTAGTTTTTACAGAATTTTGCAAATTCTCCCCCTCCCCTCCCGCAGCCCCTCTGCCACCCCCTGGCACTGTCCTTTTTTGTCGGGGTCATTCCCAGTGTTTATTAGAGCTGGTTGCAGTTTTGTCCTTTGCCAGTAGGTGGTGATGGACGACCACACCGAGTCTGAGAATGCCTCTCGGGCGGTACTGGGGGAGGTCAGGCATCATGCTGACCCATGTGGTCCGTCTCAGCGGAGAGGAGGACCCTAGAGGGGGCACTGTCGATCCTTTGGGAAGGTTGGGGTTCCCATGAAGTCTCTGTCTTAGCAGATGCTGGTCCTCAGGAACACCAGGCGCCTGTTTTCTCATCTGTGAAGTGGGGTCGTGTGAGGTCCTCCCAGCGGCTGCTGTGCTTCACGCTGCCTGAGGAAGAGAACATGGTGGAGGGTTGGGCAGGGGAACGGAGCAGAGGCGGCAGCCCCCTTCCCAGCAAGCTCAGGCCGGAGAGTCAAGAAGGAGCAGGTTCCCAGCCAGCTGCAGGGCGGCCCACCCTGTCCTGGCCCTGCCACTTACTTGCTGTGCGTCTTTAGGCAGCTTGCTCCCTGCCTCTGAGCCCGGCCTCGTTCGTCCTCCCTGCACCTGGGGCGGACTTGATCCCTCCAGGCAGTGTCCAGAGCCGGGGCAGACAGAAAGAGAGAGAAAATGGGTGTCACAAAGGCCCTTCCACCTCGGGGACTCTGGCCTGACAGCCCGGCCCCGGGCTCCCTGGGTTGGCTTTGCCATCTGCTCAGAACTTGGAAACCTCAGAGCCCCAAGGGCAGGAGAGGGAAAGGGAGAGAGGAGCCCCTGGAGCCCTCAGGGCGAGGACGCGCGGGGGAGGGGGCGCTGGGCAGGGCAGGGCAGGGGCCTCCGGAGACAGAGAGAGGAGATGAGAAGACAGATTGGGAGAGGAGACAAAGGAAAGGAGGAGAGAGACTGAAAGAAGGTGCGAGGGGCTAGAGAAAGAGAAACACTGGAGTGAGAAAGAGGAGGGATGAGGGGAAGGAGAGATTCAGCCAGGAGAGGAGAGAGAAGAGACGGATGTGAGGAGGGGAGAGGGGGCCACTCAGAGGGGAGGACAGGCAGAGAAGTGGGAGGAGCAGAGACAGGGAGGCCCCGAGAGGAGGGGGCAGAGGGAGAAACAAGGAAAAGAGGTGGGAAGAGAGCTGGGTAGGGATGGGGAGGGGACGGGAAGGGAGAGGGTCGGAGAGAGAGAGGAGGAGGAAGAAAGAAGGAAAGAAAGAGGAAAGGAACAGAGGGAGGGGAGAGAAGAGGCGGGGCCGCCAGGAGCACAGAGGGGAGGAGCAGGAGGATCAGCAGACAGAAGAGGAAACGGAGGGAAGAGGGGGGAGGGGCATTGAGACCAGAGGGGGGGAAGCAGGAGAGGGGGGAGGGGGCATTGAGACGGGGGGGGGCATTGAGACCAGAGGGGGGAAGCAGGAGAGGGGGGAGGGGGCATTGAGACCAGAGGGGGGGAAGC